ATAAATATATTGAAACAAAAGGTCAAGTCAGTAAATAGAAAAGGTTAGTAGCTTTGACTTTATTGACCACTCCCAAAGTCATCTCTGTGAGTAAATGAGTTGGGGTTTTCCCTTTCAGAGTTCAAAAAACAAAACTCATCGCCATGAGAAATTTCCGAACTCGCAGAGGAAGCTTCCTCGAAGCTCTCTTAAGTGCGAGATAACGCGTCAAAGCGTCTTCTTCCTCTTGACCTATAAGGTAAAAAACAAACAAGTTAAAAAAAGCTCCATTAAAAAGCCTTACCAGTGTGACTAAACTTGTTGGCTGTTGCTATATATATATTCTTCGCTTCGTTTCTCGATTTACGAGATCCCTTGATTCATTCTCTCTTTCTCTAATCTAATCTATAGCTGACGATTCGCGTTGTAAGCTGAAGAAAATGGAGAGCTACTTGAACGAAAACTTCGGCGATGTGAAGCCGAAGAACTCTTCCGATGAGGCGTTGCAGCGTTGGAGGAAGCTCTGCTGGATCGTCAAGAATCCTAAAAGGAGATTCAGATTTACGGCTAATCTGTCCAAGCGTTCCGAAGCCGAGGCCATTCGCCGTTCAAATCAGGTTCGCGTCTTTCTTCCCTGTTTTTGTTTCTATCTCTGCTTGTATACTGTTGGAGATCTAATAAGTGATCTCTTGATTCAAACGTATTCCGAGTATTGTTTGTTGGTTGATTCACTAGAAATCTACTTCGTCTCCTTCTTGTTTTAATCTTGGATGGGATCTAAGTGAGCTCGTTTTAGTATTTTTTCTGTAGTTACTTATCCTCTAGTGTAGGATCGTTATGATTACGCATGACTGATATTACATTAGTTTTTGTTTCTAAATTAAGATGTTAAGTGTTGTTTGCTAGTAAGAACTTTCACGAGTGTCTGCCTTTACCTCCTCTGTGGATACTTAAGTTATCATTCAAACTTATATATGAAATAAGTAGCATACAAACATGGCACTCTTTTCGTATAATGGCATTTGGTTCTTCAATTCAAGTTGAACCCATTTCATGCGTTGTGTTATTTTTATATAGTTTAAAAGATTAAAGCTTACTGTTCGTATTTCCTTTGAGATACAAAGGCTTACCGCTATTGCTGATTTGTTCTAAGACCATTTTCCTTTGCCAACCTTATGAATGCAGGAAAAATTTCGAGTGGCGGTCTTAGTTTCACAAGCTGCACTTCAGTTCATTAATTGTGAGAATAATCTACTCTCTAATGTTATTCAATATGTATTTGCTTTGCTTAACGAGAAGTTATTGCATGCTTACAGGCCTAAAGTTGTCCAGTGAGTACATCGTACCTGAAGAAGTAAGACAAGCAGGGTTTGAGATTTGTCCTGAAGAGTTGGGATCAATTGTAGAAGGCCACGATGTGAAAAAGCTGAAAGTTCATGGTGGAACCGAGGGCCTCACAGAAAAACTCTCCACGTCTATTACTAGTGGGATTGATACATCTGAAGACCTGCTGAGAGTAAGAAAAGAAATTTATGGAATCAACCAATTCACAGAAAGCCCCACTCGTGGCTTTTGGTTATTTGTTTGGGAAGCCCTTCAGGATACTACCCTCATGATTCTAGCTGCTTGTGCTTTTGTATCGCTTATAGTTGGAATACTGATGGAAGGGTGGCCAATTGGTGCCCATGATGGACTTGGTATAGTGGCCAGTATTTTGCTTGTCGTGTTTGTTACTGCCACTAGTGATTATAGGCAATCCCTACAATTCAAGGACCTGGATGCAGAGAAAAAAAAGATTGTTGTTCAGGTTACCAGAGACAAAATGAGGCAAAAAATCTCAATATATGATCTACTACCTGGCGATGTTGTTCATCTTGGCATTGGAGACCAGGTTCCCGCTGATGGACTTTTTCTCTCAGGGTTTTCTGTTCTGATAAATGAATCGAGCTTGACTGGAGAAAGTGAACCAGTTGGTGTCAGTGTCGAACACCCCTTTCTTCTCTCTGGTACCAAGGTTCAGGATGGATCTTGCAAAATGTTGGTAACTACAGTTGGAATGAGGACTCAATGGGGTAAACTGATGGCTACATTAAGTGAAGGTGGCGATGATGAGACACCTTTGCAAGTAAAACTAAATGGTGTGGCAACCGTTATTGGTAAAATAGGTCTATTTTTTGCTGTCATTACGTTTGCTGTTTTGGTTCAAGGATTGGCTAATCAGAAGCGCCTAGATGGTTCTCACTGGATCTGGACTGGTGATGAATTGATGGCGATGCTGGAATTTTTTGCTATTGCTGTAACAATTGTTGTGGTTGCAGTCCCAGAGGGTCTGCCGTTGGCTGTGACATTAAGTCTTGCTTTTGCCATGAAAAAGATGATGAATGACAAAGCGCTAGTGCGCAATCTAGCTGCTTGCGAGACAATGGGATCTGCAACAACTATTTGTAGTGACAAGACTGGCACTCTTACAACTAATCACATGACAGTTGTAAAAGCCTGCATCTGTGAACAAGCCAAAGAGGTTAATGGTTCTGATGCTGCTAAGAAATTTGCCTCAAGTATCCCTGAGTCTGCTGTCAAACTTCTACTGCAATCTATATTCACTAACACTGGTGGTGAGATTGTTATGGGAAAAAGAAACAAAACCGAGATACTCGGAACACCTACAGAAACTGCTCTGTTAGAATTTGGGTTGTCACTTGGAGGGGACTTCCAAGAAGTAAGACAGGCGTCAAATGTTGTGAAAGTTGAGCCCTTTAACTCTACAAAGAAAAGAATGGGAGTTGTCATTGAGCTGCCTGAAGGACATTTCCGGGCGCACTGTAAGGGTGCTTCAGAGATAGTTTTAGATTCTTGTGATAAGTACATCAACAAAGATGGTGAAGTTGTTCCTCTTGATGAAGGATCTACCAGTCACCTAAAGAACATAATTGAGGAATTTGCTAGTGAAGCACTTCGAACTCTTTGCCTAGCTTATATCGAAATCGGGGATGAATTCTCTGTAGAAGCTCCTATTCCTAGTGGAGGATACACTTGTATAGGTATTGTGGGCATTAAAGATCCTGTCCGCCCTGGTGTCAAGGAATCTGTTGCGATTTGTAAATCTGCTGGAATTACTGTACGAATGGTGACCGGAGATAACATTACTACTGCAAAGGCTATAGCCAGGGAGTGTGGCATATTGACTGATGATGGCATAGCTATTGAAGGTCCTGAATTCAGGGAGAAAAGTGATGAGGAACTGCTCAAGCTAATCCCAAAATTGCAGGTGATTGTCTGACAACCAAAAGTACTTGTATTAGATTATCCAGTTTTTTGCAGTCTGTCTTGGTAGTTCATAACTAATTGATCCTCACACAGGAAACAAACCCTCAATTTCATTTGCATGAGCTTTCGAAATCTGAAAAATTCCTTATCACATACTCTTCTACAAGGGATTCAAGTATAGTTTCCTTCTTGCAGGTGATGGCACGATCCTCGCCCATGGATAAGCATACTTTGGTGAGACTCCTCCGTACAATGTTTCAGGAAGTCGTTGCAGTGACAGGTGATGGAACAAATGATGCTCCAGCACTTCATGAAGCTGATATTGGACTCGCAATGGGCATTTCTGGAACTGAGGTCTGTACTCAGTCATCGTTCTCCCTATTTCATTATTTGGTTTATGAGGAAATCTTACACTCTAAAAACATTCAAGTATGGGTACTTATGGAAGAATAACACTTACATATTATATTTTCCAATTTTCATAGGTGGCAAAAGAGAGTGCGGATGTGATCATCCTAGATGATAACTTCTCGACAATTGTCACAGTGGCCAAATGGGGCCGTTCTGTGTACATAAACATTCAGAAATTTGTCCAGTTCCAGCTGACAGTAAACGTTGTGGCTCTTATTGTCAACTTCTTATCAGCCTGCCTCACTGGTTAGTTCCAGACTCACATTTCTTTTTCTCTTATTCAGAAGACTAATCTCCTCAGTATTGCAACTAACGTCTCTATGACATTGCTCACTACTGTGGGTATCAGGAAATGCTCCTCTGACAGCTGTTCAACTACTGTGGGTTAACATGATAATGGACACTCTTGGAGCGCTTGCGCTAGCAACTGAACCACCACAGGACGATCTGATGAAGAGATCTCCAGTGGGAAGGAAAGGAAACTTCATAAGTAATGTAATGTGGAGAAACATCCTTGGTCAGTCACTATACCAGCTTGTCATCATATGGTGTCTTCAGACGAAGGGAAAGACAATGTTTGGTCTTGATGGCCCTGACTCTGATCTAACACTCAATACCCTTATTTTCAACACCTTTGTCTTCTGCCAGGTAAACATCCCACATCTCGTAAATAGAAATACTACCAATAACCTCGTTGCTCATCACATCTATATTTTTTTCAGGTATTCAATGAGGTCAGCTCGAGGGAAATGGAGAAGATTGATGTGTTCAAGGGCATACTAAAGAACTACGTATTTGTTGTGGTTCTAATGTGTACAGTGGTGTTCCAAGTAATCATAATCGAGCTACTGGGTACATTTGCAGACACAACACCACTTAACTGGGGACAATGGTTGGTCAGCATCATGCTAGGGTTCCTTGGCATGCCTGTTGCTGCTGCCTTGAAGATGATCCCTGTTGGTTCGCACTAAGCTACACATTATATAATGTGATTCCTTGTGCCGCACCTTTGGCTTTGGAAGGCACCAATTTTTTCTCCGGCCTTTGGAAGTTTGATATCCCAAGATGGCCATGGAAACTAGTCACGGTGTTTTTTCTTTTTTTTTTCTTTTTTTTTTTCCATCAAAATGTATAAGTGATTTGGAGGAGCATTTGCTTCGTAAATATTAATGTTGCAGAACTTGTTACTTATCTTTTGTTCTTCTATCGGGTTGATACCTTTACTAAAACAAGTTATCCCCATTATACAGGTAACAGGTTAAGTTTCTATAAAACTGAACACGTCGAGAAATTGGAACCCAACTTGAAAGGAGAATTATAAGAAGTAAAATACAATTGGTCAATGGCTCTCTAACATCATACCGACTTTTGAATGATAGGAATAACACCCAACAGACGAAAATTTGTTATAAATGAAAAGAGGTTTCAAGTGTAATAATGATCGGACCAATCAAAAACATGTAACAAAAACGTGTAAATGATACAACAACAGTTTTTCAAAAGTAGCAGATGAGTTTGCAAAGCTTCAAAGTCAATTGTAAAGATCATTCCTCCTCCATCGTTTCTGTCGCTGCATAATGCCCAACGTTCATATTCTGCATCACAGTTGGAAACAAATTGCACTTTCATAAATTTTTCTGTACAACAATACTCTCTACCAGAGACAAAAGCTCAAACCACAATTTATAAATACCTTAGCTAACATCCTCTGCTTGGTCAGGAACTGCGTTCTTGCTTTGTTGAGGGCTGAATTTGGTGATTTAAACAACCTCTGCAACAAAATAATCGCAAAATCCAGTTTTGTTAACACAGATTTCTACAATGAATTCGGCAATAAAAACACATATTTCTAGAAGATCCGAGAAACATACCTTTTCGTCATTAGTCATCTTTCCTCCACCAATCTTCTTTGGAGTGAAACTAAATACTTCATGAAGGAATTCATTCTCCTGATAACCAAATTGTATGAAACAGCACACCGTCAGCTTTATAAGAAAGAAAACTTAAAGAGGGTAGGTCGACACTTGAATCAAAAGGGAATATAAGCAAACAGACCTGCATATGTTTAATAAAACCACCCCCAAGGAAATGCTTCAAATAATTCAACTGTATCATTTGATACCACGTTGCTGTCTGTAAATAGTCTCCTCCCACTTTTGTTGAAGTTTCTGGAGCACATCCGTCCTAATCATAATTAAAACGTATCATATACAAATTCCAACCAGAAGAGTCAAACTTAAACCTCATTAGGAGAAAAGGTGAAGGTATACCTCAAGAAATTCAACAAGATCTTTGAACAAATATCGTTGGGTGTTGAGATCTTTCTTAGCAGAACCTTTACCACCTGCCTCTGCAGATAGCTCTCTAACTTGTTTGGTGACTTTAGCTTTCAAGCCATGCATGTGAATCAATGCCTCCTGAGACACACTTCCTTCTTTCACTGATCCATTAGCAGACTCTTTGGCTTCGGCAGAAAACTTCTCTAGGGTTCCCAACTCAAATATCACCGCAAGTGCTTCACCAGCAGCTATACGTACAGATCGGTCATCCTTTTCCAGCAATGTAGAGAGATAAGCTACGGTCCTGCAATGACATTAATATCTAATCAGATTATATATCCATGAATAAGAAGGACTACAGTACAGAAAAGCCCGATGGTTCACTTACTCTTGCCAAATTTTAGGACCTAGTGTCCAGCGATCAACTGTTGTGAGCAGAAACGCCCAGGAAGAGACAACAGCACTTATTACAGCAGGTGAAGGTTTAGTTGCCACAACCTACAAAAAAAAGGCCAACATACATGTGAGCCTACTTTATACTTTAGACCAGATAACCTACTTTTTTAATAAACCAGATTGATATGAGAAAAAGTAAGACGCATACATTAGAGCCTAGTTTGGGGTGGATCATTTGCCAGATTGTTTGCATTGATTTCTCAGTTTGCTCTGGATCATTCCCACCAACAAAGGTTATGACTGCTAAACACTCGAGTATCTACAATAAAAAGGCAGGATATCAACAAGCGTGAACATTATTTAGAGAGCTGAGCTGGAATGAAGAAACTGCTTGATTACTAAATCATCCATACCGAGGTTATTTTCAAAATTTCACGACCAGATTTAAGGGCTTGAGAAAGAGGAGTGACAGATTCTTCCAAAATCTCTTTTGCTTGATCCCCAAGACCAACAGTTAATGCTAGCAATCCTGCAAACACCACGGATTAGTTGTTAATACGGCTCAATACAAAGATTGCTGAAGATGATTCATGAGTTGCCTATTTACTCAAGAGACTTACCAATAACATGCGATGCTAATGCGGTCTCCTTAGTAGACCCTTTCTTGATGCAGTGTAAACACTGATGCAATAAAGTCGCAAACCTGCATCATTAAGAAGAAACAGGTGTCATAAATACACTACACAAGACTCTAATATTTTTGAAACTAGAAGAAGGAATGAGTATTACTTATTTTCCACAAACTCAAGCTGCATGTCGCTGTTAAATGCATCAACAATGGAGGCCAGAGCTTGCTCTCTCGTTGAACTCCTACAAATCCAGAAACGAAATCCATATATAAGTTTTGCAACCAAAAAAAAACAAGCTTGGGTTATAAAAGCAGAAAGAGACCTTTTCTCATAGAGAGCATCAAGGGATTGATCCAACAAAGCATCTTTGTGAACAGTGACTTCATCCATGCCATTATTCAACACTCTCTCAGATGGCATGGTGGAGGAAGAGCTTACACTACTTGTATCATCATCACTATCAAACATGGTCGCGTTCTTATTACGCTGAGATTCTGAAAAAACAACAAAAAATTTCAGCAAAGTGAATCAAAGAATCCAAATTTATAAAACACTAACGAGAATAGAATTTGGGTATAGCAGAGATTTAGCAGTTAATTAGAAAAAGCAGAATCAATTGAACCCTAAAACAAACAAACAAACAAACCCAAGTGAAAAATTGAACTGGAAATTGAAATCAATTAAGATACAGAAAAATTGAAGCTTACTCCTCCCCATGATTATGTTGTCGTGCGGCTAATTCAATACTTTGCGGAAATTAAGAGAAAATGAAACAAAACAAAAAGAAAAAGATTGAAAAGGACTTATAAGAGAAACTGAAAAGTAGAGGAAGGATGAAGACGATCTGAAGCAGAGGAAGAAGGAATCGAAGCACGAAATCGACAAAAGAAGAGCAATAAAAGTCTGGAAGATGAGGAGGAATGAGATCGTAGAGGCGATGTATCCATTAAAAGAGGTGATTTCTGGGTTTTTTGGGGTAAGAGGTCGAGAGAGGCCGAGAGAGAGAGAGAGGAAGAGAGAGTTTGAGACTTTCGTCTTTGCCAAAAGAAGAAACGTGGGGATGAAAGTGGTGACTCTTTTTATATATCGAGACAAAAGGAGGAGACTCTTCTACTCGGTGATATATCGGACCAAAGAATCATATCTCATTCACATCTGCGAATATCCTCTTACACGTGTCTTCTTTTCTACCGTCCGATCTTAACTTTGCCGACGTGACTGTAATAATTTTTTCCAATTTCCTTTATTTTTTGGTCTTTTATATACTTTTTCCATTATTTGTGTTAGCTTAGTTTAATGTTCTTTCTAGACACAACAAACCAACATTAACGACGTAAACGCTAGCTGCACTAACCATTACAATTTCAATTCCATGCAACAAATACTAACTTATACATTTTTAAAAAAATAAAATATACGTACCAAGTTGTTTTGCACGAATTAACGAAGATAATGTTGGTAAAGCCGTGCTCCCTAATTTTGCGAACCGGCTCGTGGTTCTCTTGTACGATTTGATCATCTTTTCTCTTACTGATGTGGTTTAATACTTTTGAGATTGAATGAATAAGAACCTTTTTTGTATAGTTACGTCTCTCTCTCTATCTCTGTTTTTCTCTGTCTGAGGTTTTAATTAGCCATCGAATGTGTTCCTTAATTACTTTATTTATACATAAGGGAGTCTCTCTATTAAGTTCCTAATCCAAATCAAATTAGCTCCTAATATCTCCTACTTAGGCTAGAATTTGTTTTTCCTTTTATTTATCTTTTTATATTTTGCCACAGAAAAAAGGGAAAACTTTGTCCTATATATTATTCGTTAATCACGTGGATAAGTATATATTATTATAGTGATGACCAAAAAAAAAAAAAAAAGTATATATTATTATGGACACTTTCTCGCGTGTTACGTAGACCTCACAACAAACCGTGTATTAGTTGATTGTAGACTCATTAGTCATTATCCACCACAAATACAGTAAAACCTCTATAAATTAATACTTTATAAATTAATAAACACTATAAATTAATAAATTTTGCTGGTCCCAAGTCGGGGCAGTGTAAAAATTAACCAAATTCGATAAGATAATAACATAATAAGTTTTTTTGAAATCCCTATATAAATATAGTCCCAATAATAACATAAATTAATAATCACACACACATATATATATATATATATGTGATATAATTAGTTATGTTGAAATATGGTTTTAGTTGTTTGTAAAAATGAATTTCTCCTAGACCTCATCTTTATAAAAAAAAAGTTTTTATTATATTTTAAACTATAATCTTATAATATATTCCATAACATCATAAAATAAACAATTTTTTAATATTTTCTATTTATAAATATGCATCATATTCATTTTTTGTTTGTTTTATAGGATGTTAAAAGATAACAATTCAGGTTAATCATAAATTTGAATTTATGTATATACTTTGCATAGAAGTGAATTTATTTATAAAAAATTAATTCATTGTAATTTTTTATATATAAATATAGAATTCAATACTAAACCATAAAAATTTATATAATCTTAAAGACTAATCTTATTTTGTAAAATTGTCCCAATTCATAATTAAAAAAAAAAGAGTTAAAATACCACTATAAATTAATAATTATTAATTTATACTATAAAATAATAAATATTAATTTATAGATAAATTAATATCACTATAAATTAATAAATTTCTGTAGTCCCAACATTATTAATTTATAGAGGTTTTACTGTAATTTACTTCTTTTGATATGCACATATCCAAATGTTTAGTCTATTTTCCAATTGGAAATTTGGAATTGATTACTATTGTTGTACAAATTATCAGAAGATACTTGTTTAACAAAAAAAAACAAAAAAAAAGGGAATAATATTTGCCAGTTTTCTTCTTTTAATTACCAGAAACAAGCATTACAATCAAAAATGAAGTATTGATTTTTGTAAACCATTAAGTTTCTTTCGTGTATTCCAAAAAAAGAAAAAAGAAAGACCCACTAAAATGTAGTATTGTGCTTTTGTTATTTTTTTTCTTTTGTTTACCTCTAGAAACCAGAAACACTAGCTATGTGTTTTTTCATAGCTCTGTCTTTATGATTATGATTTCTCCCTCCTCCTCCTCTTCGCCCCCTTCCTCGACCCCTTCCTCCTCCATTCTCCGTCTCTGTAGCAACCTCTGAGTTGTTATAGCTCTCATTACTCTTCTCTTGCGGCTGCTGCTCTCTGTTCGCCATTCCTCTTCCTCTTCCCCTTCCCCTTCCCCTTCTCCCTCCATCGCCTGTGTTTGCATTCACATTATTAGGCTGACTCTTTTCATCTCTCTGTGCCTGATACTCTGTCAGCTTTCTAACCGCTCCCAGAGGGATATTCCCTCCACGTCCCAACCCAAGTATCTTATCTCCCTCAGCTTCATTTACCAGTGAAGCTTCGTTTGCATTTGCCACCGCTACTGCACCTGCCACTTTGTAACTGTAGTTCTTACCATCTTTCACATAGAATTGAGGATTCTTTCTGCTACCCCACTTCGGAGCATCAGAGGGCTCCGGTCCAGCTCTGTTACTGAAAGCCCCGCTTTCTTCTGTACCTGATTCCGCAACACTCAAGCCCAGATCATCAAAAGAGTCATCGTATTCATCGTCGTATTCGTATTGTGCAAGTAGGGCCGCGTTCCTCTCTCTGTCGGATTCTTTTCTAGCGTCTAGAATTTTGTAGCTTGGAATATCATCCTTTGGTTTTCTGACAAATCTACCAACCGCTGTGGATGAGGCTGATGAAGCTGGAAGCGAAGGACGTGTGATCGGTTGCTCTGTGTAAATAGCAGAGCTACTGGTGTCAGATTCAATGAGTTTTCCTTTCCCTTTGTCTTTGCTCCTAAGAGTTGGAGCAGTTTTGGGTTGTGGCATCGTCTCCAGTGAAGTATCCAATCGCTGCAAATCTTCATGGAGCGTTCCCTCAAGAATCCTCTGTATAACTTCTTCTGGATTCTGGTTATAGGCTTCAAGACATGCAGCTAAGAAACCATTCCCATACTCAGGGAATATGTCTTTTATTTGACTGATCTTGGATTGCATAACTACAGCATTCTCATCCATAAGATCTTTGGTCTTTCCACCATCAGTTAGAAGAAGCGGTGACTCCTTCATAGAGACAGTGTCTGCAGAATGCAACATGATCATGGACAAATATTGAAGCTGCTCATCTTCCATTGATACCCATCCTGCATCGAAACCAGTAGCAAACTGCTTTAGCCATAATGCTTATAACTCATGGTATTAAGAAGCAATGAGCTTTTGCACAAAATTTCACAATGATTCACCAGCTAACAGTGAAGTTAATATGTTGCTTACTTCACTGTCGGTGAACTACACAATCTATCCTAACAGACCATACATATTAAAGACTAGAACCCACTTTGACATGGAAAATCATGTACAGCTGGGCAGAACCAAATTGTGCATGAAAATACCTGCATTTTGTAAACTCCTAAGTCTATCAATTATTTTGTAATTCTTCTCAAGCTTATGGAGTAATCGGTTCTTGCTATCCATTGACTGCTCAGAGAGTCCACTGATCTCCCTGAATGTTTGAATCAATATATCTGCCCTCACCATAGGGTCCTCTACTCTTGACGGGAACATCTTTGTGACAGCTGGAACTGAAGTTTCGTGATTGAACACATCATTGCTGAGATAACTAATATCTAATATGTTCCAACATAATCTTCCAATCCTTGTTGATAACATGTTTAAACTCGTTGATATATCTGAAAGAGAATCATGGTCTCCATCCTTGAACAAGACCTGAAAGCCACGATGAAGTGATGGAAGCAATGAATCATGCAACCGAACAAGGCTGAAGAGAAGTTCATCGCTCCCATAACTGCACAGATGGAGTTAGGTTATGATACAAACAAATCCATAACAAGCCAAATATAGATCACTAATAGCAACCAAAGTTTTACTATTAATACTGTTATCCATCAATCATGAGAATCCCATAGTTGGAATTTAATACAAATCCAATTACAGATGATTTTTATCAACTAATTATGGGTGGAAGAGCAAGATTAGGGGTTACTATTCATTATTGAAAGATTTAGATAAAAGATGGTGCACACCTTGTCTCAACAGGGCATGCTAAGATTAAAACTGCTGGTGTATAAGCAGAGATAAAAGCATCCAAAGAAACAACTCCATCATTAATGAAGTCCATAACCTAATCAGAAAGAAAAAGACATTAGAACAGATAATGCCCATACACTATAAACAAGCAAAATCATGTGTTCATGTTATAAATTACAACAAGAAAAGAAACTTGGCATGCTATATTTAGAATAATTTAGTGTTAAGTTAAGTGTGTGCACACAAGCGTTCTACTCGTGCAAGTGTGTCTGCATGCTCACTCATACGTATTCATGTGAAAAAACATAATAAAGATGAAATATATGTTAGTCAATTCCTAAAGCAAGCTTTATTCCTCAACCTAGTATAATCAGCTAATATGTATGTCCTATGTAGTAACAATGAAAACCTTATCAGGCATTAGATAGACGTCTTGAAAAAGATCAACACAAAAGAGTCATGTATCACGTTTTAAATTTAAACTATAAGCACTTTTAAACTAACAATTGAAGAGCCAAAAAAATTATGTAATTAATATGTTACTAATCTCATGTGTCTACAGAAGCAAAACGCACAACAGATATATTAATAAATATAATAAGGGACAGAAGTTTAACCTCTAAAAGGTCTGAATGGAGTTGTCTATGTCCATGGTCTTCACCATTTGCACTTGATACTAAGGTCTACAGATACGAAAGTAGATATATGATCAAAGGGAAAATCGAAGAGTCAAAATCAAAACAAGAATTTATAGACCAAGAATGTTAAATTTAACACTTTTAAGTGAATTTAAATAATTTATCTCAAAGTACAGTTTCTGAAATAAAATCATATAACATACCTCCAAAGATGAGGTGCAACGGTGATGCATTGTGTGCAGGATACCCAAGAAATGAGACAACATCATATTTAAACTTTCAGGAATCTCATTTTGTGATTTGACAGCATTTTCAATCTGGGAAAAAGACAATTACATTAGCAAAAGAATAGAAGATTATCTAAGAAATCTTATCCATCAACAATTGGGAATCCCAGGATGTCAAATGTCACAAAAGGAGAATCAATCCTAGCCCAATGATGCACAGAGATAAAAGATGATCTCAACTTTACGGACCAATTAACTTTCTAATGACTTACTAATGATTTTGTGAGCTCTGCATTTTCATGTCCATATATAGCACATATATCCAATAATTTTGGCAAGTCCAGTAACTTCTTTTCCTGCAAAAGAACTACAAACAAAACTAGTGAACAACTGTAAGCTAGGTACCAAGATTTGAAAATTCCTACAAAACACGTCTGGCACGAAAAGAAAAGAAAAAAGAATCAGGCACAAGAACTCTAGTTTACTGCAATGATGAATTCAGTTCATCCTGAAAAGTCTTAATGAGGACTCCTCCACTACCTGATTCTTATATAAATCCAAATATACTCAAGAATCACATACGGATTCTGGTGCTAGCTCTCTTTAACTCTGCCCTAGACAAACCAGCTCTAATCAGTTGCCTATCTTGAGCTGGTCTAAGAAACATTCGTTTACAAACAAGCTGAGTTTACAATCAAACATGTCTGAACACAAATGTCGACCAATGCAAGCATAAGACTCGTAAAACTTATCTAAAATCTAAATGGAACATGTACAGGAATCTAAACGTAAGTTAAAAAATAACTGTGCTACAAATTAATCTCAACAGTCAAATCCCCTTCACAACAGCCCTACTTCTAACTATACTTCTGAGTAAATGATGGAAATTTACTTAAGCTCCAGATGGTCTAATAGTACCAGGGAGTTGGTCAGTAAAGAATCATAGTAAATCATACTTTAGTTCAGATTAGTAAAAGCAGCTAAACACCAAGGATGGTGCACAAAAACATATAACCTAAAAATTTAGTAACCCAGAGGAATTACATGAGATATGTCAATCTTTCAGAATATAATAACTACCAGCAACTGAATGGAATTAGCATAGATAAAGAGCAAAAGGCCACCTTCATGATCTTTCAGACTGAGGCTATCAGAAGCTCTAGCACCGGGATCCTTATTTGAAGATCTGCCATAACCAATATACAAACTCCTCAACTCACAAGACCCAAAAATCGAAAGTAAAGAACCATCTTCGGCTCCAGGTTCAAAGTTTCACACTAATATGACAGAGAAAGACTATTCGAAATTACTTGTAAAGAACATCCATGAGGTTATGAAACAAGCAGCGACTCACATTCTATACAAGACCATGAAAACGCGGCGGCATAACTCGAGTTCTCCAACAATTACACCGGCAACAATTCCCTTGACACCATGAAACGGGAAATCATACCATCTGCTTCTAAACTGCAGGAAGCTATCCAGAAAAATATGCAACGATGCATCACTAGCCACTGTCATTTTACCAAGAGCAGTCAATTCAGCCCAAAATCCATCACACAGAAAAAAATTAAACTCGAGACAAAAGCTAAACTGAGAAATTGTAGACATTAGGAGCCACCATAACATAAAATCAAAAAGAACCATGACCTTCTCTCCAAAAATCTCTAGGATTGAGCTTAAGCAACCTTGTGAGCTCTCTATTGAGGAGATCTACCACTCCCTGAGACTCAACAGCATCCAAACCTCCTTCATCGGGGCCTAAACCGGCGGCTACAGCCTCATCCTGCGGCAAGTAATTCACGAAACTCCCACCTCCTTGAGCCACCAACTGTCCCTGATCCCCCATCCTAACCCTACTATCACCGGAAGCGGAGACTCTGGAACTCGCAGTGGAGGAGTCTGATTGCCTAAGAGAAGACGAGAGAGAAACGGGGAAAGTAGTAGAAGAATCAGAGGTAGGAGTTGGAGTCATGGGTTTGGGAATGAGCTTCTGCTGCTGATGACCCTTGGGGATGTATCTTGTGTTCTCGTCTTGCCGATTCGAGCGTCGGTTAGACATGATGGTATACTATGAGAAGATCGAAGACGGAGGAAAAGAGAATATACGACGGTCCTGTAATTCAGACGAAGAGGATGCTGGAGGAGGAGGAGGAGGAAAGGCGCAGCCGCTGCTGATATACGCTACGCTCTTGTCGGAGTCAATAAAATGCTCCTGATTCCATGAACAGCGTTTGAGTTTTTGATTGATTAAATTCGCGTTTGGCCAATAATGATCTAAAATCTGTCAGCCGGTTTCTATAAAATCTGGTTCAAATTAAAATCTGGGTTTTCAAGTTGGTTTCGGTAAGGGAGGTCGCATCAACCGGTCCGGTCGAATGCGCCAACCAAATGCAAAAAGCATATACACAAAACCTGACAAAATTTATATGACTTTATCTAGAGAAAGATGCGACAGCTAAAATCGTTTAAACAAATCTACAATTGGTTCCCTCAAAAGGGAGAAGAAAGAGAGAGATTATTACACTAGTAAGTTCATTTACAGAGTGATTTGAACTACTACCTTAAGCACATAAGCAATGAAAGTCTTTCATTTACTCTCCTTTGTCCCAGGGGATATATGTCATGAGCACTCAGCGTTTGTATCCTTGGGCAAAACCAAACCGATCAAGCATTCAGAGGAAGACGGGGAAACCGAAAGTAAGGAACATGTCTCTTGCGAGTGGGGAAGAATGAAGAGATGCCTTGCCCACATGGGACTTGATGCAGGGATCTTTATCACTCCTGCACAATCTCTCTGCTTCAAGTATGATATAAAATCTTGGAGCTGCCAAACAAAGAAGTAAGTTTGATAGAGTAATATCTACACAGGAATTTTTTTAAAAAATTGCAGTATGCATGTTTAAATTGACTAAGGGTTTGAAAAGTTGATCACATACCCCTTTACTATCGCTAAAAGTTGCGGGACTTAGCTGACAGACCTCCCTCTGCAAAACATGATACCTCAAATCGTAAGAAAAATGCTTGCAGTCATTAATTTTACTTGGTAATGGAGTTGGAAACTCACTTTGTGTGGTTGTGTATTCGTAAAAGTAGCTTTTACGTGCTTCATATCCGTGCGCTTGGTCATATCCAATTTAACTGGCCATCTGCAAGAAGGAAACAAATGTTTATTCTCATAGCACATCACTTTATTATAGAGAAAGACACAATATGAACCCAAGACATCAAATATAAGAGTGAGGTATTGTCACTCACTGCACAGGCTCGGAAGATGCAATGATATATTTGCAAATGTCTGATTCCAGTCTCTGTGCAATGATGGTGGAGTAATGAACTCCACTTTTCGACAAAGCACCCTGCCAATGTTGCCCTATGTTTTGTTTGGAGGCCTCTAGTCCAGACAACTGTGTGACCACTGGAGGTAAGTGTGGGGACGATGATGATGAACAAGGGGGAGGAGGAACCAAAGGTGGGTGTGAGTGAGGCAAAGGAGGTGGTGGAGCTTGAGGCGGAGGTGGCATCATTTCAGGTAAGGGTTCCGGTGGCTGGGATTGATGTTGTAGTGGTGGCTGGATTACACAGGGTAATGAGTGTCCTACAGGCGGATGTGGGTACACTTGATCATATTGCTGAACTTGAGGTCCTTGTGTCTGAGAGACTGGAAGCACAGGAGGTGGCATGTATGGACCTGAAATCTGCTGCGGTGGAGGTCCCTGCATCTGTGAAGATGTTGCTACAGCATCACCGCTTGGGGAGATTAGAGATCTTGTATCCCATGAGCTGGTTGGAGGAGGGTATATGGATTGTTGAACAAACGGAGATGGAGGAATTTGAGATGTTGGAGTAGCAGGCACTGCAGGCTGTCCTGGAGCTGGCATGGGAACACATGGAGGAGTTCCTGAGACCGAGGCATGGTGGTCTTAATTTCATACACATCTTTCTTGTCACAAGTGAACATGCTTCAGGGGAGATAAGAGAAGAGATAAAACTAACCTCCTTGTGCAGAATTTACAAGAGTGCTACCAGAAACAGGCCAGTTTTGCTGAAATGTAGCTCCACGGGGAACAGAATTACAATGGTTATCCGTACTCATTAAGGGGGACACATAATCCCCTGATCCACTATCCTGTTTCGACGATGGAGGTACTTGAAGGTGCCTCTCTGGATAACTGCTCAGACAAGAAACTTCCACATCAAATCAATGAGACAAAAATAAAGATAAAAGCATGTAATGCATAACTATACCAAAGTCAGAAAGCTCAGAGCGTGTGAGAAGATACAAAGTCAAGTGGATACATTACTAATAACATAGGTGGGGAGAAGCAGAGACAAACCTTCCTCCATCTTCATGAGGCAAAGGAGGATTGATTGATGCCAGGTGAAATTTACTCTTTTCTCCACGAAAAAACCTGAGATGGGCCATTACAACAGCAGCATCATCTGGTGTATCAAACTCCATCAGAAGGGCATGTTCATAGTATAGGTCAGTCACCATGCGAGGTCCCTTATAAAGGGCTTGCCGCGACTCATGGACAATTTCATCCCTCTCCCACTGGCTATTGATGCTACCAATATACAAATGAGTACAATAACCATATGCTACTCCATTCAAAGATCCCCTTGCACCAACGCCTATATCCATAAATTTAATGCGCCAAGGAAATTGCGCTCGCAGATATTCACGAGCTCTGATTGCATCAATTATACTTCTATATTCCGCTAGGGCAAATCCTTTCACTGGATCAAAAAAGAAACGGTCTACGGGACCGTACCTATCAAGCTGAAACCTTAGATGACCTTCAGTTTCATCTGGTCCTAAATAACCTAACCACAACTGCCCCGAAGCCGGATATATGTCATAAGCAGTGGGGTCCCCATCCAAATACCAAACAATTTGCCCAGATGAAGGGACATGGGGTGCTGCCTGATAAACAGGTGATCCTGCAAGAACAAAATTGTTCCTACGATCCGCAGAGTTGGTCCTTAAATCTGAAGGAACTCTTGCAGAAGGAGACGGTGTATGATGGTTTACTAATCCCCTTGGGACTGAAGATCTACCACATGACAAGTCTCTCTGGTCAACAGTCTCAAAATCCATTGATCGTGAACCTCCCGCATCATAAACTGATCCAGCACTAGAGCGGACATCATTTTCTGCAGAACTGTGAGGTTTCACATGTGAAAGTGATTTTCCATAATCATCCTCGTCACTCTCCAGTTGACAATCTTCTAACTTGATATTTTTCCCCAGATATCCAAAGATTTCTTCTAGAGAAGGAATAGCACTGGATATATCCACAAAGGATGACAGGCTGCATATTTTCTTATACTGAAAGAAGGCCCACCTACCAGTGGAGGGACTCTTCCTAATAACCTGCATGAAGGATTCTTGAAACTATTAGACTTTTAGCAGTATACACCCATTACACATTAGCCATATATAGTTTCAAGAAAGAAGCAACTGAATGAAATGAATGACACGGTTGGTGCTCAAAACAGGGAATATTAATAATAACTAAAAACCTACATAAATACAAAACAAACTTAGAGAACCAATGCCACCTATATTGATTCTAAACTAATCAGAGCATTACCATTCCTAACAAGCAGTTCGTTAGACTGTTGGATTCTTCTTGGACCCCATTCAACACTTCCACATTCTTACCAGTAGCCTCTATATTGTTAGAACCTGTCTGACCAGAATTCTCGTCTACTTCAGGTTCATTACTAGCGGCATCACTATCATTAATCTTTTCTGTCATATGAGTAATGAGATACCTCCCCGTGGCTACATCTTCTGTTGATGATGAATTGAAGAATCCGAAACAAGTGGCAATTGATTTTTTAGGGAAGTTGAAGAATACTTTCAGTAAAGCTAAAACACGAAATTGGGATAGTTTCATCAAAGGTAACGAGTTTCCATCTGAAAGTTTTTGCATCAGCTGAGAAATTTTTTTGTCAGGTTCTTGCACCGCCAAATCACTCTTGTCAACTATCTGGAAAATATCTTTCCCCTCAAAGGACAGCACAAAGAAGGTTAACACATTTCTGAACACAGCAGAGCATATATCACGAGCCCCTGGTGATGACGTTTTCTTTGAATAAGCAGCAGAACATAGGTCAACTAGACCAAATATGCAGGCTTTAGCAGTTTGAAAAGCAATACCATCAGCATCTTGTCCTCTCTTTAAAGCTTCCAAGCTAAAGTTATGCATGTCGATAACAGCTTGAATTGCATCTCCGATAGCAGTAGGGCAGTACAGTGAATATCGAGGAAGGAGATCAGCCACAAGGCGCTTAACGCTAGTACAACCTGCAAGTATAAGAAACTATCTAAATCATTACTCCAACACACTTCATTCTAAGGCTTCTATTCTTGTGCAGAAAATGACTACATGAGGTACACTTGAGAGATTAGAATCCTTTGTCTAAACTTTGTATCAATTTCAAAATATCTGAAAATTCTTGAGGTCAACTACAAAATCTACTTTTGAGACTAAAATTTTTGCACTAGTTTGGCCTACACCAAGAATAATTCCCAAATAACTACACACCACCCCCCACCTCACGTATGAATGGAACTACAGATAGTGAACCCTACATGAGCAGGCTTTTCTCAAGAATTGGAAATATATAAAACCTTAAGTACTGATACATTCCGGTTTTCACATATATAAGAAGGGAATGGAAGAGGGTAACAATAAATGTAAGGAACACAATTTGATATGGGCAACAAAGAGACACAACCAGCATATACATGGCTTTATCATGCTACTTTGATTTCACATCTTCGTCTTCTTCTAATCTACAACTAAGAGCTCATACACAAAAGTCACAATGCTAGAGCTAATGAAAGGGTTGTAATGAACTGAACTAGAATATTTCTGCTTCTAAACCCTAGTCTTCACCTAATTAAGTTAAGAAAAGCCAACTGGAAGTATTCGTTCTCTTAGAAAGATATCTAAAACTACAAAACTCAAGCAAAATCAAAAATTTGAACTCCACCAACTCCAAAATCCAAAATATAGCAGAGTATTCATTCAATCGGTAAAACTGAATCAAACGGGAGAGGAAGTAAAAAACTAAGATTGAGAGAAAATAAACCTCTGGAAGCGGAGATGAGAGAGCGATAAGCTTGCTCAAGATTCGCAGAGCGGCCGCCGCCATCTCTCTGAGCAATACAAGATTTAAGACGCTTATAGCAGTCATGCACTCTTCTAATCTCTTCTCTGTTCCTGTTTCTCGTTTGAATTTCCTCCTGAGATGGAGGCGACGGCGTCACCGGAGCAGGGAATGAGCTCGCTACCGTAGAAGGAGATGGGGATTCCAGTTGCGGTGGCGGAGGCTGAGGCTGAGATTCAGGGATTGACTCGTACAGCCGACGCTTTTTGATAGGCTGCTCGGCGCAAGCCATGGCAGCGACCGGGAGAGAGAGACAGAAGAGAGAGACAGAAGATGCTCTGTGTTGAAGACCCCTCTTTGTTAGTGTTTAAGACCCTCTAACTCGTGGAGAGGCTTCCTGGTGGCGACTGGCGAGATCACGATACAGATTGGTTTGACAAAACAAAATTAAAACATCAAACCAAACCGAAACTAGAACTTGCATGTCTTTTTTTTGTTTTTGGTCCTATATTTGAGATAGTATGCAAGTAAATATTTTGAAGGGTTTAAGTAGTTTTAATTAATCAATAACACCATATTTATAAAATTTAGTATAAATTCATGATTGAGTGACGAAATAAACTTTTTTTTTGGTTGGTTGGTTGAATACACCAATGTAAGAGATGTAAGAAAATGCAATTGAGGGATAAAACCCTAAATTCTTTAGGGTTTCAAACTTATCCTTTGACACAAGTTTGATTAGTGCTAATCACAAAAATTAAACAGGTCTTGAGCATTCATAGTAATTAGTCAACAAAATGTAGTACCCAAAAGAAAAACTACATCTAGTATCATCATCGTAGGCATAAAATATAAATTCATCTTTTTATCATGATCGTTTCTATATAAAGTCGGTCGAAAATATCAAATTATATCCCTGAATTGCATTTTGAAACCCTGGCAAAATAATTCAATTATATATCTTTGTATTCAAACTTGCAAAAGGGAAAGAAAGACTGTTATTAAATTAGTCTGATGAGTTGACTTTTTTATAATCTTAAATATATAATTACAAAAAAGAGAAAAGAGAGAACCAAAAGTTCTTCTTAGAACCATAATAATAATGACAAAAGAGACAAAAGAAGTTAATTAAGAATAACAATAATATCAGAACGAACAACAACAAAAAAAGAAAAGAAAAATGGTACGTAGGATCTTATAGTAGATCTCTTTAGTTGGCCCCAATTAAGGATAATATTATGTTCTAAAATGGGTTGCTCTTTACAAATTATTACGTTGTAACTTTTGTATGTAAGTCCTTCACAATCACATCAGCCGAGACAAAAGGTTGTGATGGAAGCCCATGTCGAGTCCGTTGTAAGCCAATGGCGCGTACATCCATAGATCATCCGAGCTCAACAGCTACATTTTTTTTACATTGTATACATGTTGGTTAGTTAACTACAACATATGAATGTTGTTGTGTAAAGATCATAACCCACTTTCTATATATATAATTCTACACACCTTAATCTGAAGCTGCAAGAACTTCACGTAATGGACCGCTTCTTCTAGCATCGTACTTATATCTACTTTTGTCCCGTTCGGTACAAGGTTTTGCAGTGTCTTGAGCCTTTCGTTAATCTTCTCTCTTCGTTTCTGCAACAATTAATTAAGAATACATTTAAAAACTCGTATATATATTAAAAAAATAGGAATGTTATTCATTGTCATATGGTTTTGATATAAAATTTATATAAGTTTTAACATTTTCTAAAGTTACCCGAGCATAGAGGCTTTGAGGATCAGTGGCTGTTCCTTTGGTGGCTCTAGTTTTGCCTTTAACACTTGTGACCGAAGCTTTCTCATCATCTGAACTGTTGCTTAAGCTCTGACCATCTATACAATTAGTGTTGCTTTCGTCAACTGTATTGCTTTCCGAGCTTACCCTCTGTTTTTTCTTGGATTTCGCAAGCTCCTATGTATAGCATAAACGATAAGTGTATTAGTTTTTTATGCATAGTAATAATCAATGAAAGTAAACATTATATACAGTATATTGATCTTCTACTTACTTGTCTTGTGACGTCACAGTCGGAGTTAGTTTTGCATAGATTCTCCACGTTAAGTAGTTTCCTCTTAAGAGATGACGTTTCTTGGAGGTGATGGTTTTGATCCCAAGAATCAAGCATGGCCGGAAGATTTCCTCCAGGCATTGCACCAAACGGGAACATATCAGGAAGCAAGAGAGCATGATGATCAGAAGACAAGACGTTGTTCTGGTGATGATGTTGATGAATATGACCATTGTAAAGGCTAGCGAGGCCAAGCATCTCGTCTCGCGGTCTGTCCTCTTTAGATGATGAACATTGATCAAAGTTGAACATCCCCAAGAGAGACTCCAATTCACCATCAACAAAAACGTCCATGGCTCTAACCTCCAACTTCTTGTCTTTCTTGCTGTTGTTCTTCTTTCTTCTTCTCGTTCGTTTGTTGTTATAATATAGTTCTTGATCTTTTGCAACTATATATATATATAGGTCGGGGACACTTGATGATGAAGGGAATATTTCTTGAGGAAGATTTGGTGATGATGAAGAGAGATCAAGAGATTCTTAAACTGGTACAATCATTTGTGTCGTGAACAAGTCGTTAATTAAAGAAGTGAAATGAAGCCATGCATGATGATGAACACGATCAGTCAACTTGTGGGGTCGACAATAACAGGCTTTGTTCCTTCACGACACATTAACATATTCTTATTTTTATAAACCATCCATTCATCTCAATTAAACTATATAAAGAAGGAAATACATTATGTATAAGATGACAAGAGATTAGTATAATAATGAGAGAGACTTTACATTGGCCACAGCCACACAAGAGAAGCGGTGAAGAATAAAAATATGGCCACGCCAATGCACGATTTATGAAATCATTATCGCATATTCAACAACACTAAAAAGAACAAGAAATGTTTTATAAAACAAAACAAAAAACAAAAAAACAAAAAAACTTTTTAATCCATGCCGTTTTCAACCTTAAATTACTAATTGTCCGGTAGGTCTCTCGTAGCTACTTTTTTTGGAGGCAGCATGATATATCCGGGGTCGATGAAACTTGTTTGGTCGATGATATATCATGTGCTTTTAAGTTTTAAGGACGAGTTGTATACTTGTATATGATAAATAAAAACTCATTCTTAAGAATGAACAAAACCTATGATCTGCCTTTGCGAGAAATTAAGTTTAGAACACAAAACCAAACCTAAAAATAAATTTATATATAATGCGTGTGACTGGTAACATGACTTGTTAGTAATTCAATTTTCATTACAGTTTTAGCTGATCATAAAATTGTTAATGCAAAAATGTTACATTCATGATTGTATGTTTTGTATTTTGTGTTAGGTGGGTTAAAAAATTAGAAAACAAGAGAAAACAAAAAGAAAAAGGCGGAAATAAGCCATAACCTACGAAGACTTAGCGTATTTGGTTTTCTAAATTAAATTTCGTTAGTTAGTAGAACTTAACATTGTTTTAGATGTAAATAATGTGAAATTCAACACTCAAATGTATTATATATAAATGCATGGTTTATCAATGGTATAATATACAAAAGTATAAATAAATTAATCTAGTTATGGGCATGTGAAATGAATAAAGCTAATTTGTATGTATTATAGTTGACTGTGTGTTGCTAATATTGTTTTTAAAAAAAGTTATCTGAGCTTCTTATCTTTTTGGTCCGGCTGGGAGGCAAATTGCCTTATACGTTATAAAAAGGTCAAGTAGGTATAATTGGATAAAAGATAAACTAAAACATAAATAAATAATAATAATATTAGGACGGCACAGAATAGAGTTGGAGATTCCGACAAGATGAGATTCAAACTCGTTTTTTGTCTTAAGATCATCCCCACATAAAATCTTCTTTACTTCTAAAAAAAATTCCAAGAAAATAAAATCACAGCTTGAAGATATGTTCAATTGTCTCTTAAAGTTTAGAAATGAGATGACGGGGTTAAGAGGTACAATGCATCTTACGGATTTGCCTATCTGTTTCATTCCTTGTTCGAGACTCGTTACTCCTCTTACTTCCGAATTAAACGTTTATAATACACACGGGTTCATGGAATGTGTCCTTTTACATCATATCGTGTTTTTTGATACTCTTTATGGTATAATTATCACATTTTTAAAGTTAATTATCAATGGATTGACTTGTACGATCGAATTGTTTCTTCTTCTTTTTTTTTTTTTGTAGCATGCATGTAATTATATAAAGTAAATTGGTGTGGCATGATTACTGCTCGTTTTCTTGTCTCGTTTAAAGTCAGAATTGGAGAATAATCGTTAGTTCTGGTTCGATATTATAATATGATCCGATGTATGAGAATGGTTGGTAGATTTGTACTTCGAATACGACGAAAGCTATACATAGTTTTATATACGATGGAATTAATACACTAGCACTTCTCTAACACCTTACAATTCGAAGTAATTAATGAAGACCGTTAAGTTACCTTTTTGTGTAAGTGCTTTCGTTTATACACATGTAGTTAGGTAATAATAAGGTATTCATCTTATTTCGTTCTAGTTGACTTACAAAATAATAATAATAATAAAGAAGTATTGTTAGGGAGTCATCATATTCGAACGAGAGGATGGATACAGAATGTCTTGGTAGTTGTGTTTACTAGTTCACAGATTTAAAGTAAATATATATACCAACAGTGTTTGGTTTGCAATATAATTATGATTGTTTTCTATGTTTTATGAGCTATACATACGAGACGTTTACAAAAATAACTTTTTCTTTAATAAACTCCCGTATATATTGTTTCAATCCTCGATCTCATGTTTTTTTTTGTTAAATTATATGATATAATTTTTTTTTTGTTTTTGTAATGTTTTAGCTGAAAAAATGTTTATTATTGTCATATGGGATTATTTAAATTTAAACATACACTAAAAACAAACAAAGGATTTAATAAAAAGAAAAGCCTTTCGTTTGAAAAGCCCAAAGAAACCACAACGTGAAGAAAGAGAGCTGCTTAATCCAGTACATTATGTGGTATGACACATGTCCACGACAGTAGGGAGTTAGTTAGGATCAAAATATATAGGCAAACAAGAGATGTGTTAAGGATTAAGAAAACATTTCACATTTGTTCACCTAATTTATATCTTTCAAATTACATATGTTTTTGTTATGACTTTTAGAACTGAGTAATTGACCAAATTTCTTTTGAAAATTATATCATAAACGATATTACAGGATTTGAGAAAATGAATTTGAATTAAATTACTCTGATTCTGTATCATAAAAAGTACTACTTAACTTCACTGAAGTCGAACTAGTCCAAAAGATAAAGTAGACAACACTTAAAGAGTTTTTGTCTTTGAATGTGCCTTTATATTTTGTGATCAGAAAGGTAAGAAGAGGTTTGGTGTGTGAGAGAGAGAGAGCTTTTATCCACACAAGGCAATGCGTGACCCATGCATGATGACACGCCGACTCTTATACATTTTTGGTTCTCTGCGTCACATATTACGGCCACCTCACAAGTTTCATGTTTTTAGTTTCCTTTATTCACATACATACACAGCACATATATCTGTTTTTCTTGTCATTTTTATAACATCAAAGTGTTAATCTGAACATGCATGGATCTACTCCATGCGAAACAAGGATGCATATACAAACAACGAGACTCCCTCAGTAAAGCTCAAATGTTTATCTCTGTTATATTCAATTATAAACCTATTTTTTCTTTTGCATGTTATCATGGTTACAAAAGCCTCCCCAGAAGAATTTATAGTTGTTTTTGCTTCATAGTAATATGTATATTTCTTGATCACGCGTCATATAAGATCAAGGTTATTTGGATAACGTGTTGACATAAAAAAAAAAAAAACTCTTTTAGTTTTTGTGAGACTTTTCAAAAAGTACGACAAAGCTTTTAGGTTAGCAACAACTATAATAAATCAGTACAACAAATTATTAAGACTAAATTTTCTGTAAATATGGTTTATAGATTATGCTTTAACACGCAAAAAAATGTTTGTCCATTACTCCATTATTGCATGCTTTTACAATATGAAATTTTGGGTCCATCAATCACCTTCGGTGGACTATCTTAGCGACAACACAAATGCCAGTTTTTAATTACCGGTTAACTGTTTCCGTCAATCAAATCAAATAGAAAAAGTAAACCGGACGGTTTGAACATTGAAGAAACGAGTAAGAGTCAAATGTCGTCGCTTTTTTGTTTTAGTCAAATGTAGTTCGTTCCCCACATCTCCCACTGTCACACAACTCACATATAATATTAGTGATAAAATTAAAAACTACTACTAGTAGTACCAACAATGTTTGGTTTGGTTCCTTCGATTTAATATTATAATGTATTGTGGGTTTGACTGTGGAAAACGCTTCAAAAACAAACAGTGTTTTTACTAATCGTGCACCGTCTTTAGACCTCTTTACCTCCAAATATGAATACTGTTGTTCGAAAGCTTTGAACGGTATACATTTAGATTCTTTATTCCTGTCTTTAATCATAACCCAACAAAGAAAAAAAACAAATATCAGTCGAATATTTTAACCTTTAAAGGCTGTTAGAATTTCATTTACGATCGAGGAAAAGGTCGAACCAATACTACTTTTTAAGACACAAACAGCAACACTGAACTAGCTAGCACCTCAACTTTATATATATTGTATTTGTATTTTGTATTGAACAATTACTTTACCAAATTTTTTTTATAAAAATGCTAGTAATAATTAAAAAAACGTTTCCAAATGAATCTTGTGTAAGATAGCTTCTTTGTTAGTTGTCAACTAGTTAGTAGTTATAACTATCTATCTTCTTGATGTGATTAGGAAAAGTCTTTTTTAATGTGAAAACTAGTAATAATAAAAACGTTTATTCCACATGAACTTTTGTGTTCAAGATATTTCCGAAGAAGCTGTTTTTTTCCCAAATCAATATTGGTTAGTAGTTACTAGAAGACTTTCTTTGTTTTTGGTGTCAACTAGCTAGTTATAAAACTATCTATCTTTCTTAAAAGTAAACCGAAACGTGTACCATACGAGATTACGAGTACTAGCTACTATCACCATACCATCTCATCCATGACAACCACATAAAACTCTAGAATATTGTAAGGCGGCATCACACTAACAATGAAGAAAAAGTCTCCTTAGCCGACCTCTTCTTCTTCTTCTTTTGCTCTCACACACTACTTGCACACGTGTACTAGGTCAAACCAAACGTGCCCAATTTATTTTCCTCTCTTTACCCCAAAAAAAAAGATATGAGACATTTAGATACTTTTATCACAACTTTGGTCCGCATATTTAATTTTAAAGAAGACGAAAAAATAAAATGAAGTAATTATCTAATCGCCACCTTCACTCTTCACACTTTCCCACCACTTGTCACGCAACTTCCTTCTTCACACTCCACCTACTATATATTTATACACTCTTCTCATTTCTTATTCTTCAGCAATCTCTCATATTTTTTATTCTCCTACAGTTATAAACCAAACAACCTTCGAAACCGATTCACCAGAGACAGATATCTTCAAGAATCCAATCTTTTATAACTAATGGCGCTCGAGGCTCTTACTTCACCAAGATTAGCTTCTCCGATTCCTCCACTTTTTGAAGACTCTTCCGTCTTCCATGGAGTCGAGCACTGGACCAAAGGTAAACGATCTAAGAGATCAAGATCCGATTTCCACCACCACCAAAACCTCACTGAGGAAGAGTATCTAGCTTTCTGCCTTATGCTTCTCGCTCGTGACGGAGATCGCAAACATCATCAAACACTTCCTCCTCTTCCGGCGGCTGTGATGGCTGAGAAGACGATGGAGAAGCTTAGCTACAAGTGCACCGTCTGCGACAAGACGTTCTCCTCTTACCAAGCTCTAGGTGGTCACAAGGCGAGCCACCGTAAAAACTTATCGCAAACTCACTCCGGAGGAGGAGGAGATGACCAGTCCACGTCTTCGGCGACAACCACATCCGCAGTGACTACTGGAAGTGGGAAATCACACGTTTGCTCGATCTGTCACAAGTCTTTTCCGTCAGGTCAAGCTCTCGGCGGACACAAGCGGTGCCACTACGAAGGAAACAACAACCACAACAACAACAACAGTAGTAGCGTGTCCAATTCCGAAGGTGCAGGGTCCACCAGCCACGTCAGCAGTAGCCACCGTGGGTTTGACCTTAACATCCCTCCGATCCCGGAGTTCTCGACGGTCAACGGAGACGACGAAGTGATGAGCCCTATGCCGGCCAAGAAGCCTCGGTTTGACTTCCCGGTCAAACTTCAACTTTGAGGAAATTTATTTACTTATTAGAGACGATAAGATATTTGTTCGTTTGTTAGTGTTGGAGAGAGTTCTGTAGGAATTTGTTGACTGTACATACCGATTTGGACTTTGACTGATTCCAATTCTTGTTGTTCTTTCATTCAACTGATTCTTTCTTTTTACCATCCATCCATACGCGTTAAGTTTGTGTTGAATAGTATAAAGTGATACCACTACAGTCTACACAATTCTGTTTTTGGCTCTGTTTTCAAATTTTATAATCAATTAACTTCTAAAGACCCTTCTAGTTTCTTCTACTACCGTCCACATATTCTCACAATTTGAAAGCTGTTAAGCAAAAAAACAAACATACCACTTTTATTAGGGAAGACTGCAAAACAAAACAAAACAAAATAATAACCTCTGTAACTTTCATTTTCCTTTACAAGAAAACCTTAACCTTTTTGGGGGGTCGATTTTGCAAAAACTTCAATATTTTGACTGTTATATTCACGAGATGGATATTTTCATTGGGCTTTCAATAGCGCATAAAAGCAAAGCCCATTTAACTAGAAATTCACCGAAACGCCGCGCAGTGTTCTACAAAAAGTGAAAACGACACGGTGTTTTTCATCCGCACCTCCCTCTATATAAAAAAAAAAAGAAAAAAAATTGCGCAAATTGGAATCTTGGATTCAACAAATCGTTTCCTTGTTAAAAATTCCCTCTTCGTTTGAGCTCTTTGACGATGGCACCGCCAGATTCCTCCATGGATCTCTCCATTGTCAAGCTCCTCGAAGAAGACGACAAGGTTAGAATTCGAATTTCCTAATCTCCCTTTCAGCTCCGTACTGTCTGCATTGTCTTGCTCTGTGGCCGAAGCACCTCAATTTTTAATTCCCACTCATTTGTGTCGTTAGGATGACGCTAAGCATTCGGAATATGACTTGGAAGTGTTTCAGAAAGCTCTGATTCGAGATATCGAAGGTTCGTTTGGAAACCCTAATTCATATGCGAAACTGTGGAAAATATCAGATGGAAATGTCTTTCGAAACTTTCGATTTCTTGAATGATTTGAAGTCTATTAACAATCATATTGGTAATGAATCAGAATTAAAGCAAACTCAGTCTACGAAACTGCAAACGATGAGTAGCCCACAGGCTCATAGGGTGGAACAGCCTGTTGTCCCTGTGAATCATGGTCTTACACTAGCACAAGTTTGTGATTTGCTTCGTATCTTAGTAGACCAAAACAAAGATAGAAAGAGTTATTTTCAAACCCTGTATAATAAATTCAAGGTGAGGCTTTTACATCCATGAATAAATTGGCACTCTGATGGAAGACTTTCAGTACATGATTTTTTCTTCTCATACTTGATTGCAGGGAAAAGAAATAACAACAGAGGGGCTCATACAAAATCTGAAGGCTGCTGTTGGTGATCAGATGATCAGATCGGCAATTAGCAAATTGCATCAGCAACAACCGGTATCACACTTTCAATTTTCTTAGCATTTAGAACTACTTCAATGAGTTTCATTTAGCTGTCCCTAACTAGAGTTTAGTTTTTATTTATATAAGTAGCTTGTTAGCACATAGCATTGATCTTAACATAGGTAACTAATTCACTAACTTTTTTTTATCATATGTAAGATTTAAGGCAAGGTTGGTGTTATTTGGGTCATTAATTTGATATATACATTTGCTTCAGAGATATATTCCTAAATTTGGATTCACTCCTCGTCTAGAATAGGATACTTGACCATTATATCTATAGCTGATGTAACTCAATCTTTCAGTTCAATGGATGTTATGAAATTTATTTAAGTCTCTGTGTTGACTAACCTCTCTTATATCTTCCAGGGAACTGTTAGAGTTCATTTAATAAAACTACCTCATTTCTGAAAGAGTTCTCACTTGAAAAGTGCTGCAATACTGATTAGTATTAGTATGACATGATAATAACAGCTGATTACTTTTTTTTCTTGGAAATTTTTGCTCACTTATAAACTATATATGTCATCAGGTTAATCCGAGGGTCAAAGTACCTGGACGCCAAAACCATGACATAGTGTCTAAATCTGCTGGTATGAATAATTCAGCTGATGCCATTTACTTTTGCAATTTTCATAGATCGTCTTAGCTTCAGGTAGATCTTATCTTATGATTTCCTTGTAGTATACAAAAAAAAATCTCTGAAACAATCTTTAACTGCAGAAACCAGTGCTCAAGAATCAGATCCTCGTGAAGTTCAAGTTAACCAACCGCCTTCTACAACTTCAGGCACCTTAAGCAGTTCAGCTACTGTGCAGGGCTTAAATAAGCAACCCAAGCAATACATGCAGCTTTCATCAAGTTCTTTTCATATGGGTACCAACTCTGGAAGTCTTAATTCATACCCAGGGACAAATGTCAATTCTCCTGGTTCATTGCCGAGCGCGAGACTTCCTCATTTCCAGCACATCTCTTATAATCAGAATGTGGTACCAGCCAGTGTTCAAGGACCAACCAAGTCTACTATAAACATGACGACAATACCCAAGATTAAGAGGCCAACTTCTATAAATGGCCCAAGTAGGGTTCAGGATGGTCCTGTATCCAACTTCCAAAACAACTCATCCCTGCCTCTATATTCTTCTCCTTGGCAAGAATCAGTCACCAAGGACCATACAGTGGGCCCTTCGTCATCAGTGGTCCATGTGAAGCAGAAATTGATTGATCAAAGTTTTGACCAGGCACAGAAGCCTCATTCTTTGGTGAAGCAAGGCATGAATACTGTTCTACTGGAACAGCACAATGCAATTCCAATTAGTTCAAATGATGAATTGGAGAAGCAGTCTTCTAAAATGTTTTTATCCACCTCTGCAAGCTCTGTTTTTCCTTCAACGACAACACAGCTGGACTCTAGCAAGATGGTAATTTATAAATTATACTCTCGAAAGATGGAATTTGGTTGATTTCTCTTCAACCGATGTTGCATTGGTTTAGTTGTGCTTATATTTTGGACCACCCTGGCTTCTGTTTGTTCTTGTTTCGGGAATTTTGTTGTGAATAATAAATAGACTATGTATCTAACTATTAAGTTATTTGTGTACTCATCAGGTATATCTCCCTCCCCCATCTGGAACCATAACGACAGCAACTAATGTCAGGAAGACATCAGACATGCCTTCTATTGGTCAGAAAAAACCTCTTGAGGCCCTAGGTTCTTCGATGCCACCATCACGGTAATAGATCTGGCTGGTTTGTGAAGAGGAACTATTTACAGGGTCCATAGATTACTATTCATTTATGATAATCTCATTAATCATTTATTTGCAATATATAATTGTTATATTGAAGTCTTAAAAAATGTGTTAATTTACAGAAAGAAACGAAAACAATGTGGAACTTCTTCAGATCGAAGTATTAAAAAATTTAATGATGTCACTGCTGTCAGTGGCATCAATCTTCAGGTATTTTTTCTGATAGCTCCACTTAACTAAAACCTGGATACAGAGAAACGAATGAACCAACTTATTTTCTGCATCTGTTCCAGGAAGAGGAAAAAAATTTATTAGGTTCTTGGCCCAAAAAGAACAGTCGTGTTTCTAAAGCATCCCAAAGATTTGTGCAGGAAGAAGAAGAAAAAACGTTTTTGCAGAAAATTCCACTGCAGAGAAAGCTGACAGAAATTAGTTGGGTTTCAACCCATATCTTAGCTGCTTCTTTGATCTTTACTTGGAATCACTTGGAGAAGAAGTTTACATATACTTTCATATATGACAGTGGCAAAAAGTGGTTTAAAGCATATAGACCATGATGTAGAGCGGTGCTTGTCTCTGGTGAGATACCAACACATTCTGCAAATTATTAGCCTTCAATTTAGATTTCTTGTTTCTTTTATTTTTCTCACGGATTTGTGCATTCAGTGCGTGGAGCAAAGGATGCGAGGACTATTGTCGAATATAATACGAATGTCAAAGCTGGTCGGTCTACTTTCTCTTCTTCTGCCTGCTTAAAGCTTGTTGTGTCTTAATCTTACTGAAGTTGATAAAGCTTTTGCAGCGGACTGATCCCGAGAAGTGTAGAAACCAGACTTTTATCACATCTGATATCCGGAAAGAAATTAATGAAATGAATCAGAAGGTGAAAGAGGAATGGGAAAAGAAACATGGTGGAGAAGAAAAGGCTAAGGTTTGTCGTAAGCGCGATATCTATCTATTGTCGTAGTTACCAGTGATAAAGTCTTACTTTTTATATTTTTCGTTGATGTAGAATGAAGACAACCATTCAAAACAAGTGACGGTATATAACAAAAATTGAGCCAGTTACATAAACCTGTGCACTGCACATACGTATACTAAAAGAGTTTTCATAATAAGTCAGGCAAAGGAGGACGCAGATCAAAGGAGAGCTAAGGCTGCAAATGTTGCTGTTCATGCAGCCGTTGGAGGAGATGATATGTTTTCAAAATGGAAACTTATGGCAGAAGCACGTCAGAAATCTTCTCTAGGGCCAGGAAAAAACTCCAAAACACTCTCTAGTGAAATTGGTGAGCCCGTTTCTGTGATCTGAAAAAGTAAATCTCAGTTCTGTTGCTGGTCATTCTTGTGTTTAGTTTTCCTAATTGCTGATTCATTTTTTTGTAGGTGGTACACGATTTGGAAAGAACCAGGGTTTACCAAAAGTAGTCCGGTCAATCTCTGTGAAAGATGTGATTGCTGTGGTGGAACAAGAGCCTCAGATGTCGAGATCGACGCTATTGTATCGCTTATACAATAAAATCTGCTCGGATGTTTGAACCCAAGAGAAGAAGGCATAGATAGAAACTTCTTAGGACTAATTTTTTTCTTCTTTAGTAGAAACTATTAGATTCTTTATTCCATTAAAAGTGATGCCATTACAAACTCCTAAACATGATCAAGATGCTAAAGTACATCCTTATTTCTTATCCTTCTACGACCTAAAGAAAGCTTCATGCTCTTTTTTGTTTCTTCTAGTTTTTGCCTGATTCCTTCCTGCTAGCTCCGCCGTGTCCATATCCTCCACCACCGCATGAACCGCCACACCCGCCACCACCACCACCCCCGCCGATGATGACTCCACCACCAATACCGCCTGACCCGTATCCAGGACCACCTCCGCCGTTGCCTCCTTCCCAACCCAAACCACCACCGGACCCATACCCACCACCACCGCCAAATCCACCACCGATCACAACACCACCACCCCCACCTGGCCCGTATCCACCACCATAGCCTGGGCCTCCCCCTCCATAACCACCAGCTGTGAGTTCACCCTTAAATCCGGATACGTGTCGGATACTCTTTACTATCTCACTGGAGTGTGCTCCATTCTTCATGAGCGCACTTGCTCTTGCAATCTCACTGGGGTTTGCGTCATTCCTCATGGAGGCACCTTCTCTTGCAGCGTCGGCAATCATATGACCAATGAGGCATAGATACAAGGAAACAAGAAACCATAACATCACTCTAGCCATGATGGCTGCTTATAGTAACACAAATATTTATGTTTAGTTAGAATATCTGAGAAAGTAAGTAAAAGGACTTGCGATTGAATAGGAAACAGCCACACACACATCACTATTTATATATGTAATGTACATTATACAAAAGGTGATGGTTAGCATGGGCTCGCCAGTAGAGAGAGGTGCGTATATAGTGACTCACCAAGAGTGGTTTTCAGGTGATGGGTGTGATTCGCATGTTTTCTTCCACACCTTTCGCTACATTTTCTCAGTGTGTTCATTACTTCACACTATGTAGACTCTCTACAGTGTTCTTCACTACATTATTTGATCATAGGATAATTAGGATTAGAGTGAAAATTAACGTATATTTCTTGTAAATTTAAGCTGTAGATGGGACTTTTCTACAATCTAATAGTGATCTGTATTGAACTTATCAGGTGTCACACATACTCACGTACGGGTCGGTAATTAAAATCAAAAATATGATTAGCGCATTTTGTCCTAAAATGATAATTAAAGAAGAAAAAAGAAAGAAACCAAAAACGTAGTAGAGTAGTACTAAATATGGCACGTGAGAGTAACGAAAGGCCCTTAAGAATTTTGGCTAATCGAACGAAGAACGTTCCCTCTCTTCTCTGAAAATCTTTTGGATCCATTTCGCCATTTTTGAATCTCTCTCTCTCTCTCTCTATCTCTGTTTGGCTTTCTGGGTTTCTTTTCATCTTCTTATTATCATTATTCTTCCCTTAGGTTTCTCATTCTCTTCTTAGGATATTAGTTCTTTTGGGGTGCTCAAGTGATGACGACGAGTTTGGATCGGTGGGAGAAAGATCCTTTCTTTCCCGCTGCTGAAGAGGTTCAGGAATCCGCCGACAGGTTTTGCTTTTTCTCTGATCCCAATCTCCCAAATTTTTGTTTTCAATCTGTGAAATCGCAACTCTGTATTGTTGGTGATTGTAATCTGTTTCTTCGGATTTGGGAATTAGGATTCTTTCTTTCTGATTAACAAAGTTTTAGATCTGAAAAATCACAATGTGTGTGTCATCATCTCCGATTCATTGTATAGGATGGAGTCGGCGTACAGGACATGGATCAATGGGAAACGGGACTCTTCTAAAGTTTGGGATTCTGAGCAGCTTCATAGGGACCTTCACGCTGCATTAGGAACCACCAAATGGCAGGTCTCTTTCTTTTCCTCACAACTCATATTTTTCTTATTTTGTTTTGTTTTGTGTTATGTGTTGATTGAGAGAAGAGTGAATCTGTGACTTTTTTGGTGTAGTTAGATGAATTCCAGAAAGCTGTCAAATCTAGCTATGACAACCGTTTGAGTGCTGATACTAGAGATAGGCATCGGGAGTTTACATTCGCTATGGAAGCTCAGGTTTCGAAAATCGAGAAGTCTCTCAAGGAAGCTGCGCAATCCGATGGCAAAGGAACTCCCAGATGGGTTCGTTTGGATGAAGATGATCGTAATGAGCTTGCCCTCTTCTTGACTGGACCATCTGATTCTCTCAAAGTTAATCAGCCGAATGGGCATAGAAGGGCGGCAAGTGCTGCTGAATTCAGTGTTTGGAACGTTGCGGTCTCTGACGATGGTTTGTTGAAGAAATCTTCTGATGAGCCTGTGGTTAAACCTCCTAGGAAAGTTCCTAGCTTCTCTGGGTTCCTAAATTATATGGAACCTGGCTCCAAACATTGCATTAGAAAGTGGAAGGCTTTAGATCGTCAAGGAGACTCTGATGCTGCGTTATTACCTATCCAAGCAAACCAAGTAAGATTGATCGATCGATCTTCAGTTGCATACTTTTCCTCCTGCTTATAAATCTTTACTAAAACTTTTTTTGGGTTTAATAGCAAGACGTGAATGGAGGTTTAGAGAGAGGAAAAGGTTGTATGGAGTGTGAGGAGGACTGTTATGAAAAGCAGCTAAATGGTTGGTATGGAGCTCTACAGAGGCAACTTCAACGGTCTCAGTATCGGATGCGATATAGTAAATCGGTTCATGCTGCAATTTGGATTCTTCTTTTAGTTTTTCTTATCGGTAATACTTGCTACTCTGAATCGTCCGTATTTAAAAAGCAAAGTTTGCAGCATCCTTTAAGTTTTGAGATGATCCATTTTTGTCATTGCAGTGGTAGTCGCAGTGCATTCAATGTAGACGAGTGGTACGGTAGAGCACGTCCGAGTTCAATCATCTCGTGTGTAACGGGAATGAGACGAATTGGCAATCTTCATTTGTTACTGTACAGTTAATTCCACTGTTATTGGTTGTTTTGTAATGTAGAAACAATTTTTGGGTTCGATTATTTGAAATGGGTTGTCATTGAGGTAGCAAGAAACTGAGTAAAAATTGTAGAGTTTGTTGGGATGACAAACCCAAGACTGAAAGTTTGTGAACACTGAAAATTTCAATGAATATAATAAGATGGATTCGAACTATACGAGTATCTGAAGTGATATTCATTGAGAACGAAGAAAAGATGTTTCTATTACAATCAATCCGATCAGAGTAAGCGAGCAGAGTTTCTCTATGCAATCAATCTGGGGATAAAATCCGAGGCTGCTTAAGTGGTGTTTTTGGACATGTTGGCCCCCTTATCCTCACGTTTATCGGAGTTCTCTAACTCGATGCCTTGAAATGTAAGTCTAGATGATCGGTAGTGACTCCCAAAAGCAGTCCCAAAACCCCACCCGAGGCCCAAACCCACTCCGCAACCGCCACCTTCAAGGAACATAAAATGCGTGAACTAGAATTTAGCATGACCAACTTGTGTGTGCGGACAAAGAATAATAAGATGCAGAAGTAGATGTTTGAAAGGCGCTTACCTGCGCCAACGCCTAAAATGTTCATAGGCATACCTGCAAGAGATCTCCATTTCAGTTTGTTTGCAAAGAGTATGAAATATGAACCCATCAAATGCATACCATCAGACAAACATCAGAAAGGGAAGATGAAGAGGCATATGAGTAATGATGATGATGATGATGATATCTAGAGGAGGACTACATACATAATCACTTGAGACATTCCGGAATATAATCACCAAACTAAACAAGCAGAGTAATGTTCCCAAATGGAAATGATGCTACAATGTGAAATTAACAATAACTTGAAAAGAATTAGCTTAGTTTTCTCATGACCATTCCATCTTCAACCGATTCTAGTTTCCAGGGAACTTAACTCGTAATCCCGTCTCAGCTTAGTCCCAATTTCATTCGAATAAAGTAGAAAAAAAGGAAGTTGAGGACGAACCTCCAAAACCCCATCCAACGCCAAATCCACAGCCAACACCGAACCCTAAGATAAGATAGGATATTCCAATTACAAAATTGGGAGTCGAATCAAACAAGACAAAAGGAGAAAGAATGAATTGCGAATTGGGGCATTACCGAATCCGACACCAACTCCAGTGAAGTCAGATAGCACCATTTTTTAATCTTCTTCACCAGAGAGACAAAAAAATTTAGGAATCGACAGAGGCAACATATCAGAAATGGTGAATCTGAGATCAATTAACCGACGATACCTTGTTTTATTTGTTGGTGATTGGTAAATCTGGTATAGGTTAGATGTCTTCTCTGCCTTCCCACTAAAAGCTTGCACGCCTTGGCCTGAAGAAAGCAAGACAGGTGCTAAGAAAGACATTTTTGTTTTAGCAACGTACCAAATCAATCAAACCGGTTTACTAATGAACCGGTCTAACTTTTCCAAAGCCAGGATTTTATGAAGACGAAGCTTAGTCTGTCTACTACAGTAGTCAGTGATTTGTTTACCATTTGAACTCCAGCAACTCAATAAATATACTGATGTCTCATCTTATTTGAAGTCCAAACTCATAATAAGAATCAAACATTGTTGGTATATCGGCCAAAATGGTAAGTCTTTGCTACAATAGAGAGACTAAATTATTGATATACAATACGAAGAAGTTCCTATATTCATCACCTTCCACTTGGTATGCATGACGAAGTAAACACTCTTTAGATGGCTGCTTCTACAATAGTATTATGAGAAACCAAATTATAAAACGAAACTAGACTGGCCTTACTAAGTTGATGGTGAAAATAGCCCTCGAACAGAGACTATACACATTCCTCTAACGTTATGCGGCAAAAAGAACGAAATTTCTCCTGCGGTCTATTTACATCTTCCATCGACAACTTCCTACAAGAATTTTGGCTTCAACAATAGCAAAGTAGAATAATCGACCTAGTGTTTCTTTTGATTGAGTTATACACATTGATTGATCTCCTGGTTCTTGACGTCACCCATTTTTCTGGCGGGGAGCTACTGAGCCGTGCAATGTCTTAATTCTGGGGCCTTGAGATAAGTCTTCAACCTGGGAATCAAATCTCAGTTCTGAAGGTGGAATGAAACAATCCATAGACAAGCCAGGGACATTGAATGCGATTTCATCAATGACCCATGCTTCTTGCATTGTTGTCTTAGTATTATGTCCCGATGACATATCTCCAAACCTTAAAAGCGTAGCCACAGATCTACCGGAGTGAGCTATCATGATGCCCTCTACGGATTTGTAGTCTTCTAGGTATGAATTGATGGTCGTCTCCCAGTATACCGCTTCGCCTCCATTGTTTTGTATTCGGGTTAGCTGGGAGTCTTCCAAGTGAACAAGAAGACCGGTCTTTTGACTGAAGTAACCAAACAAAGTATGTCTTATGGTTTCTGATGCCCCTTCACTTCTAGCTTTGAGTGTTGCTGGGTCTGCGCATAGCTTGAGAATGAAACAGTCTTCTCCATCTATCTTTTTTTCTCCTATGCACCTTGCATTTGCAAACATATATGCTGTGGTTCTCGGGTCAAGTCCCTGAAAGTACACAACAGTAACAGCAATTTAGTTATGCAAGCAAAACAAAAATGCATGAGAAGGCTTCCTTGGGAGAAGAGGCCAAACCTGAAGAGCACGTCGTAATGGTCTAACCGGTCCTTTTGCAGCATGAGGTCCAAGCCATGGTGTGTGCCTCCACACAAGCTTACCATCACAACCTGCAAGGACCTTGCTCCCACCAAGAACAAGCTCCATGTACCACATGTCAGGATTCATATGCCACAACACAAATCCTCCAGACTCAACAGATTTTGACGAATTATTCTTGCTCTTTGAACCCTTTGAGCCTGTCTCAAACTCTGAGGCCATCGTCCTGATTCTTCCCATAACATATCCATTTTGCACAGAGCTATGAAGCTTTTGACCACCTGATGCAGCTGTATACTGTTGAAGGATGTACTGAGCAGAGGAAGTTTCCTGAAATTTCAAGTGATGTTAAGGAGTTATTAGACTTCAACCTCAACACAGTAGCAACAACTATTCAACAAAATCTCAATTAATTGCGCAGTCTTACACTTTTACTCCCGTTATTAATATGCAAAATTAAAAGAAGATTCAGCAAATTCAAGCTAGATTATGGCACAGAAGAAGCATAAATCCTAGGGATTCGATTTGTCTTGCGCATAGTAATCCCAAACACTGTCCTAATAGAGTGAAATAAAAGCTCACCATGGGAGTATTCTTGATGCTGAGGTGAGGAAGGAGATCCAGAGCACTAACGTGGACAGGACCTAATGGTGCGCCAAGAACACCAAGCAAAAGCCTCAGATCCGTTCGTTTAAAGTCGGAAGAGGACGAAACAGACGGCGGAGCAACAGGGAGCTGACATTTCATCCAATTGTACCACCGTCTCTCGAACCTAGAGTAATCACCACTGCTTCCGGAGTCTTCACCGTCTGGATCAGGACCTTCTATAACAGGAGCAAGCATCTCAGACATGTGGCGGTCCGGCTGCGTGACGTAACGACCTTTCCGGCGACGGATGATGATGGGAGAAACGCTTCTGACAGGACTCTTGGATCGTGATCGCCGGGAATTGGACTTGGAGAACAAGCCGCCGTGCTTCTTATCCATAGTCGAAGAAGAAGAAGGAGAGGAGGGAAGTGTTTTGTTAGTGTGAGAGAGAAGATGAAGAAGGTTTGGTTTTTTGTTTTTTGGTATGATGAAGAAGAAGAAGGTTTGGTTTGGTAAAAGCTTTTCGAGAAGGAAGAAAAATAGAGAAATGTTTGCGTTGAAGGGAAGGTTGCAAATTATTAATGTCGAATTTAATTCATTAATTCTCTCTCTCTCTCTCTTTTTTAAAAACATTTTAATTAGTCATTTTCCGATTTCTTTTTGTTTTTGGCTTTAGTTTTTTTTTTTTTTTTTTTTTTTTTATGAATCATCACTGCTTTGCATAGAAAAAAGTCTCATTATTACATATATACAAGTAGGCATTGGTAAGCAAATGAGAGAATTTGGAATAAAAGTTTATTTATGAACATAAACTTTGAACTTATTTTTTTGTTTCCGAATTTCATTTGTTTTTTTAAAAAAGGTATGTAATACATATAAAACAATTAATTTTTGTCTTCTTTCTCTATATGTTTAACTCGTTCCACATTGGATAAACAGAAAACTTGAGAGAGACAGATTTTTTTTCCGACAGCAGAGAAAAAATATTTGTTTTATTAATCAAAAGTAGAAAAAGAGTGAAAAATTTACCAGGTGTTGTAACGATCGGCAAAAAAAAAAGAAGCTTTTGATTAGAGCTGAGATAACTGAGATTACTATTGCACTACAACATAAACACAGTTAAATAACTCACATTAATACAACTCTGATCAATAGGTTGGATTTAGTGGATTGGGTCGGATCATTTCGGTTCATCGAAAAACTTATAATCAAACATTCTACTTGTAATCAGATTACAGTAACATGCACACCTAGTGAATTATATTCAAAATTTTAGTCTCTAAAGACTAACCTATAATAATAAGTCATTCCAGCTCTTAAACCCACCATGATTTAATTAATTAAATAGATAAATAAATAGAATTCATGTTTCATTGCTTTTAAAAAAGAAAATAACAGTTCACATTATATTGCTAACAATATTATATACTAAATACTCTCTGTTTTTAAACTATATAGATAATACACTTTATTCGAAAGCAGGACAAATTAGTGAGCAATTAGACTTAAGGAACACGAAAGGCATGCCCTTGTAGAAGATGGAAACTAAAGTCAAATTAAACAAAGCAAATTGAGTGTGATGATGCTAAAAAGCAATATATAGACGAGTAGGTGTGCATGAGCATGACCATAAGTCACAAAAAGGTCAAACATAACACAGTTTTTTTCTCTTATTTTCTCGATAAAAATAGTCTTACTTTGGTTTGTAAGTTTTTTAATTAGTTTAGAGGGCAAAAAGATTCATGGGACCAAATTAGAATGGTTGTTCCACAAAAATAGACGACTATGGTTGTTTTTTTGTTCACTCATTTTCATTTCTAACCTCACAATATAACCATGTTCGATGGTACTCATGTTTATTCTCTCTCAAGTGCTTTTTGAACAAATTAAAGTGATAAATAAAAGTTATCAAACGAAAAAGAAGATTGGTCCCTAATCATTACAAATAATTATCGAGATACAAGTGAAGATTGATTAAGAAGAAAAAAAAGATTTGTGGTCTGATTAAGTAAGCTAAGTACTTAATGTACACACAAGACCCAGAAGATTCATATTGTTGCGAATTTAGTGGTCTCCCACATGATCATCAGTCCAAAGAAGAAAAATAAACCAAATATCAAGTAGATTGAACCCATTTTATGTATAGACACAGCTGATCACAAGAAAACGTAACAAACATACAAATATATACTAAGAGACATCGTTGTACTAAACAACATGCAATATATTTCAGCAGCGTGGGATAAATGTATGTAATTAGCTAATCCAAACATCACAAGATCAAATATACAAACAGTTATACTCTCACACGAATTTTTCCTTTTTGATCAAATGATTGTTGTTCAAATATGTTTTTTTTTCTTGTCATTTAGAGACATCTACAACTTGCATATAATTTTGGATTTAAAGTCAGGATTCATTCTGCAATATGTAAACAAAGAAGCCTATATATAACAATGAGCCACTTGAGCAAACTTGTGTGAGTTTGTGCTCTTTTCTGGTAGCTATTGAGAGTATTGAGGAAATAAAACAAAACAAAAGAAGTGCATAATGCATATGATGATGATGATGAAATATTCCATTTCTTTTATTTCTTGTCATGATTAAAAATCTCATATCGTCAACGTGAGGCGCGAAGTAACGGTGACATGAGGCTAAGGAATAATATATATATATGGATAAAATAAAAGGAGTCGGTGTATGTAATTATAAATGGTGATGATAAACGTTGAGCATGCGAGTTTGGTCCATTGATAATGACTACTTTTTTGCAATACAATCTTTCACTTACGTCCCCCAAAAACCACAAACCTAAAAATAAAACAAAGAAAACAAACATTCTTTGTTTGCCCAAAAAATAAAATATAAACATTCTTATGGACGTTATTACTTAACACAAAGGACGATTCTAAATTTCTAATTATGCAATTTAATAACTAAACCAATATAGACTGAGGGCTTTTTCTTCCATGCATATTGTTTAATATTCGTGTCTTATTTTCTAAGATTTGAGTATGAAGAAAGGATTAGGGTTCTTATTTCGTACTAGCTAGCTAGTGCTAAACTGCTATTAGCAGTTTGATTCTTTAATTATTACTGTTTTCGTAGGTTAATTGGATTACATCTAAATTTAATTAACTTTATGTTTCTTTTTTTTTTATAAACGTGACCCAAGTCCATTTGTGGTGCGGTGAAGACCCCAAAGCCCAAGTGTTCTTACTAATGTATGTGATTGCCGTAAAGAAAAGCAAACTTTGGATTTGACCATGTGAAAAAAACAAAACAAAACAAACCGATTCCTAAAGACTTTTAAATTGCATGATGGCAAAGGATACGAATGACTCTCACTAGTCACTAATGACAAATTTTCAGTAACAGAAGTTGAAGAAAAACCATTTAGCGGATGAGGGATATTAGCCTCTGCAGTTACTTGTTTTGCTGCAGAACAATCAAATTAAGAGATGACATATTGATTCAAGTGCAGCTCCACATTACTTGCTCTTTTTTTATTAAAATTCTTGATGAAACGTAACTTATCCCGTTACAAAATCACAAAATGCAAGCAGTGTAGTTAAAGAGAGGTTAGAAACTAAATTTGCAGACCATCTCTAATGGTGGCGTTCTTCAGCACAACGGTGATGCCTGACCTTATGTGAAACCCTTCCTCTGGCCTATCTCCTTCTTCCACCCCCTGCCACAAACACAACCAAGATCAAACAACGGATTCTGAAAATATTAACAAAAAATATTTATGAAAACATACATCTGCATTCGCTATGACCACGTTCTTCCCGATCTTGGCGTTCTTGTCGATGATACAGTTCCTGTATTTACCGACACAAGCAGGACGATGCGCTAGGTTTATTCAAAACTTTGTCAATATATCAGAGTAGTCTTTTCTTTTAGACGTTGGAAAGCTTACCTGATTTTGGTGTTCTGGCCAACGCCTATAGGAACTTTCCCTTCAGCCAGCAGAGACGCGATTTCAGCTTCTGTTTGGTAGAAATCAGCTCCCATCATCATTGTATCCTGAAGCTCTACTCCAGACTCTATACGTGAACGTATGCCCACAATAGAGTGCTGCACACTGCATTCTCTCAAGAAGCATCCATGTGAGACTATAGAGTCAAGTATCTGCATTTCCAGCATAAATTTTAAACGTTAGTATCACAGATGAATCATCAACTGAAACATGGAATAAACCAATTCAAGAATCGCACCCTGCATTTATCAACTTTGGTAGGTGGCAAGAATCTTGGAGAAGTGAAGAAGGGTGTTTTTGGGTCGTAAAACTGGAATTTAGGAGGCTGCCAAAACAGAAATGAATGGCATAATTAGGTTTCACCAGGAGTTGCCATACTGTTCTGTAGATTAAACAATAGGGTCGGCGAAAACCTGTTCTGTGAGGGCCAAATTAGCATCAAAGAATGATCCTATGGTTCCAATATCCTCCCAATAGTCATTGAACAAAAATGCCTAGCCATTTTAGTTTTGAATGTAGCAGCAAGTTAATAAATAAAGGTGAGAGGAAGTACAAATATTGATTGATAATGTGATATGCTAAATAAGCAAAAAACAACAGACCTGGACATTGTGCTCCTTTACTGCCAACGGGATAATTTCAGAACCAAAGTCATTGGATGTAGGATAGCTCGATCTTAGAAGCTTTAGCAACACCTCTTTTCTAAAAACGTAAACACCCATTGATGCAATGTATGGGGACTCTGCAGCTTCCTTTGGTGGTAACCCAAGAATTGAAGTGTCAACTTGCTGAAAACGCGAAAAACACTAAGTTATGTAATGTTGCAAGTAATAATATGAGGTGATTTTAACTTGTGGATTGAAAGTTTTGACAAACAAAAGAAATCATTACCATTGCCTTTAAGTCATCTCCCTTTGGTTTTTCTGAGAACTGAACAATTTTCCCAGACTGGTCAATTTTAAGCAGACCAAAATCCGAAGCACGGCTGTGTCAATAAGAGAAAAAACCGAATAAGTTCGTCAAACAGAAGTAAGGCAAGAACATGGTTAATAATCGTCAGACACACCTCTCATCCATGGGAAGACAAGAAACTGTGATATCAGCATTTGACTCAATGTGCTTCTGCAAAGACACACAATAAATGAAACAAGGTTCACATACTAGCTCAGTGTTGACAAATAAGAAGAATAAAACTAACCTGCACAAAGTTCATGTAATCCATCCGATAGAGATGATCCCCAGACAAGATCAAGACATGTTCCACATTCTTTGTCTTGGCATCCTGCATTAACACTGCCATATTATGTTTCCAGCAAATTTGATTGCACTGAACACTTACTGTGAGAAAGATACAAAGACGAAAACCTCGAAGACCCATATAAATTGCCTAACGGCATCAGCAGTTCCCTGAAACCACTTCTTTCCTGCATCTCCAGAAGTTTGGGTGGCAGCAAGAACCTAATAATTCCCAGAGGTAATAATCACAAATAAGAACACAGTATGACAAATCTAATCTATTGGCAGGTAATGCAATCACCTCAACAAATCCATCACCGAAATTGACTCCATTGCCAAAGTTGTAAGTCCGAGAAAGGTGGCGATTGAGAGAGAAGGAGTTGAACTGAGTTAAGATGAAGATCTTTCTAATACCACTGTTGATGCAATTGCTCATCGGTATATCTATCAGCCTGTAACACCCTCCAATTGGCACCTACAATTATAAACTAATTAGAAAGCTCATTGACAATATAGCAGAATCATCGAAAAATTACAACGGGCAAACATAACGGTCCTCACCGCAGGTTTAGCTCTCTTGCTTGTAAGAGGAAAGAGGCGAGTCCCAGCACCGCCACCTAGTATGATAGATGCTACATTCTTTGGGTCGGCATCTTGAGTTCTCAACAGAGGTTCCTGAAAAATGCATTCTTTATATCAAAACAGAACTTGGAAGAAAAAAGAAAAAAGCTACTTAGGACTTCAGTTAAGTGAGAAGCTGTAACACTACTTTTCTTATTCATTTCACCAAGCCAGACAATCTTGATTGATGAAAGACTCTCTTCCCTAACTAAACCCTCATTTTAAACCCTTCTGATAAATCCATCCCTCACAAATCACAACTGCTAAATCAACTCACAACAGCTAGAATCTGCTACATTCCTAGTTATAGTATGCCTATAGCTAATCTTTGAGCAGGTGCACCATCTGAAAATCATCAGAAGTCAATTTCAACACAGTCCAAGTCAATTCCAACTAAAAGTAGACACATAACTGAGGGTTCTCTGATGATGCTACTAGGCAGATTTTTGGTTTTTTGTGTGGAAATGAAAGTGTGAATACTTACATTAGACTCTTGATCAACAAATGGAGTGAGAACGGAGCGAATGAGGTTTTTCTGAATCTTCTGAGGTCCACTCCTGATTTCGTGTGTCCTCAGATTACTGGCCTTGACAACTTGGGTTCCCCAGAAGGCACTAACTCTCTCAGAAACAACATTTTTGTTCAGACCAAAGGGACTCGAACAGTTGTTCAGCTTCATGGCTGGACAGCAAGAATCCATACTTCTTCAGAGAACAACCCAAAATTCTACAACTTTTGAAGTAATGCTCTAAAACGATTCCAAAAAAGATCAACTTTAGGAATACCCAGATCAAAAAATGGATTTTTTTTTTAGTAGTACCCAGATTCGATTTGGGGGATTGAAAACAGAACAGTGCTAAAGAAGAGAATCAAGAGAAGTCGACTAATTTTTGTCCCACAATGAAACAAACACCTAAAGTCCTCTCTCTCTCTCTCTCTCTCTCTCTCTCAAGTGGTGAGGAATGAGAGTGACTGTGTGACTGTGAGCTTTAACTTTTGTAGCAGTGGAAAGAGAAAACGGAAAAGAGAAAAGAGTTTATGAGAGAGATCAAACAAAACAAATGTGTTTTTAAGAGAAACGGTTTTAATGTGAAGAAGATACTCGTGATCTTCTGACCGGAACACCGCCATTTGAAGATTTTTCTATATTTTAATTTCTTTCTGCTTAAAAGCAAAACAAACAAATCTTATGGGTTTGAAAATCGTGCCCGCTTTGCAATATATTATTATCTCACTTGTCACTAAGCATAGTATAGCAAATAAATATCTCAAAAGGGTTTTATTAGAAATATACCAAGATCATTTGATTACCAATGATGATATTACTACTACTAAACAGTAATTTCGTTGAATTTTATGATTTGGAAGATGATTTTTGTATACAATATTTTCGATTTGGCTGTTTACGAATCACTTATTCAAAGCCAAAATTTAAGGAAGTAGCGAAACAAAAATATCAGTACTTGGTATAGTATTTGATATTTTCTTGGAAAGCAATCTCTATTTATGTAAGTTTGTATATGTGCTAATTAGGGAAAGTTTTTATTATGCATTTGCCTACTTGGTTTTTAGCGTAGCACGTCCCAACGCTTGAAAGGTGTCGTATACACCCAAATTGTTGTATCTTGACCTTTCACGAGTCTAATTGGCTCACACGTCAGAATACTTTTCTAGACATCAACTTTATAAGTATTCCTCATCTATAGTTCATTAATGAGAAATTTTGTCAAACTTTTTTTGTTGGACAAATGATTCAAAGTTACGTTCTATAAACAGGCGACCAAAACTAATTCTAACTCGAAATTTACCTACATATATGAATGAATCATATATACATGATTGACCCTTAGCATAATCCAAACCATATAATCAACCGAAGCTTTAAACTTATCAATACCATAACTCACAAATCATCTTCGGATCCAAACGAAAACCCAAAACAATCCATACATGCCGTTACATTTTTATCGAACCTAACGTTGCACTCTTTTACACTTCGAAGGGCTATTTTTTGTTGCATTTATCCAAGAAATTTACACCAAATGATGAATCAATCTAGTCACTCATGCTCTATTATTTTTCAAAAACCCACGTACAATGAATGTAGTAATAATAGAAGGGTACAAAAGAGTAATCAACAAAATATATAATGGGTACTAAACACGTGTCAGTTTCGTCCGGCGGTGTACGTCGCCCAACCGTGCATATGTTGGCCCGGTCGTTGCTGTGCAGTGCAGCTTCACCTGCCCACTCTCACCTTGCCAACTCTTTCCAACCAATGCTTCACAACTTTTATCCATTATTATATATTACTTTATTCAAGTTGTCCCCCAATGATTCTATTAATCCTTCACTTGTTTTATATTTTCAGGAATTGGACTTATTCACCTAATGCTTTTCATCACTCATGAAAATTCCACGACCGAACTATAAAGAAATATACTTATATGATATATCCAGTTTGTTTCAATAATTGAAACCAATTATAGAGTCTTTATTATCTCTATATAAAATCGTCTATCTAAGTGATTAAGACAAGTCACAAGTCTACGTGATTAAAACACTCATTTCCTCGGAAAATCTAAGCCGGGAAGGTTACAAGAGAGTTTAGAAGATGGATTCGTTCGTTCCGGAGAATGTTGCGGCTGAGAAAGTTGAAGCCAAGAGGAGGTTCGAGAAAAAGAGACATTTCTTGAAGTTTCTTCCGGCCATCGAAGCTCTCGTTGCCGTGATACTTCTACTCTATTGGTTAACGTCAACTCTCTTTGCCGGTGAGTATCTCCGGCGTATTGTTTCCGGTGGTTTAACAGGCGCCGGAATATACTTATTCGGGGTCGTGAACGTTCTCATCGCCCTTATCTTCTCCTTATCTAACAACAACCACAAGCTAACCGAACCCGATCTGTATTTTCAATATGTTTCTTCCTCTGCCGCTTCTTCTGTTAGTGGTTTATCCTCCTCCTCCTCCTCCTCTTCCTCCTCCGCCATGGTCTCGAAATCTTCGTCGTCTAACAAGGAAGAAACTATTTTAGAAGAAAAGCCAGTGACGGACTTTACCTCCCTTACTCTAACCGTCGTGGAGGCTCGACCGATGAGGCGAGAGATGGTCCGGGCGGTCAGTTCTGTGGCGGAGACAGCTGATGCTGTAAGGAGGAAGCGTGAAATGATGGTCCTGCCTCCAGCTGCTTGTGAGAGTGCTGGCACTGATCATCAGGTTTATAGAAGGTCTAGATCAGAGAGGCTTGACGTGCGGGGAGGTTCTCGCAGGAGCATGAGACGGATGTGTGCAATCGATGATCTGAGCAGCGATGAGTTCAGATCAACGGTGGAGACTTTTATTGCAGGGAAGAAGAAGATGTTGTCTAAGGAATGGATTAAGCCGTGAAATATTATTATTATTAACACTAAAGGTAGCCTTTTAACTAGCCCTGGGCAAAATATTCGTTAGATTCGCTTCGATTCAATATTCGTTTCGATTCGATTCGAAAAATTCAAATATCTATAAGATATTAAAACGAAGCAAATATGAAAATGTAGTATTCGTGAAAACCGAAGCAAATAACAAATATTGATTTTCTTAGTGCCGAATATCCGCTTTGCTTCGTATATTTATATATACATATGTATAAATATAAATAATTATATAATATATATAATATGTGTATTTATAGATTTGGGTATATATCTTATAGGCCTATTATTCAAATTATTATATTTTGGCCTGTTGGTTTTTTTTGCTAAATGTTGTTCTTAAACAAATAAAACTTTATTAGAAAAATCAATATTAAAAATAAAATGTGAGAATTTTATAGACGGTGGTTACATTTTTTTCTTATTTTGAAAATATGTCAAACAAGAACCTCCAATATCTCATATTTTGCACTTATATTTATGTACTATATGTTTTTAGTTTTTAAAAAAAATTAGATGAGTCAAAGCGAAGCGAAGCAAGTAACTCGCAAATATTATGAAAAATATTCGAATATTCGAAGTTCCGAATACTCGTAATTTTTCGAATCGAAGCAAATAGCAAAATCAACTATTCGGTCGAGGCGAAGCAAATCACAAATATCACAAATTTTCCGAATATTCGCTTTGTGCCCAGGGCTACTTTAACGTTCACATGTTTGGATATATATATATTTCTTGGGATCATCAGTGTCAGACTGTCATATCTACGTGAGTCTTATCATTATTCCAACGAAACTAGAAAAATGAAAACTTTTGTGTACCGTGTATGTACGTGTACGTCCCCTTATCTTAAACACTTGCGTATTCCTTAATCATCAGAACGTAAGATATTAATCCTTACTCAAAAGCGTAAGATACTCCTTTCCAAAAGCGGTTGAAAAATCGGAACCCAATATATATGGGCCGGCTAGCTAGAGGCTGGAGAAAGGTTTTGGCGATTTTAAAAATGAGGCCATTCTGATCCAAGGGCCGGGTAGGGTAAAGGTGCGAGTAGCCCTGGGCACGAAGCAAATATTCGGAAAATTTGTGATATTTGTTATTTGCTTCGCCTCGATCGAATAGTTGATTTTGCTATTTGCTTCGATTCGTAAATTTACGAGTATTCGGAACTTCGAATATTCGAATATTTTTCGTAATATTTGCGAATTACTTGCTTCGCTTCGCTTCGACCCATCTAATTTTTTTTGAAACAAAAAACATATAGTACATAAATATAAAGTGCAAAATAGGAAATATTAGAGGTTTTTATTTGACATATTTTCAAAATAAGAAGGAAATATAACCACCGTCCATAGAATTCTCACATTTTATTTTTAATAATGATTTTTCTAGTAAAGTTTATTTGTTTAAAAACACCATTTAGCAACAAAAAAAAACGCAACGAGCCAAAATATAATAATTTGAATAATAAGCTTATCAGATATATACCCTAATCTATAAATACACATATTATATATATTATATGTATTATATAATAATTTATATTTATACATATATATAAATATACGAAGCGAAGCGGATATTCGGTAATAAAAAAATCAATATTTGTTATTTGCTTCGGTTTTTACGAATACTAGATTTTCATATTTGCTTCGGTTCAATATCTTATAGATATTTGAATTTTTCGAATCGAATCGAAACGAATATCGAAGCGAAGCGAATCTAACGAATATTTTGCCTAGGGCTAGGTGTGAGGAAAGTATAAACACGTTTTTATTTTCTTATTGGTGTTGAAATCAATTCTATTTATCTTCAAAATAAAATAAATAAGAAGCATAACAATATGGAGATATTACATTGCACTAATGCCACTAATGATAGTGGCAACTTCAAGGACCATTGGCCGGTCGGTCCGTTACAAATCAATAGAGCACAACACGGAAGGTACGTAGTAGCTAGATACAAGAAGAGTGGGATGTGCCATGTACCGAGAAAGATGAAGTAGATCAAAGCAACACGAGGCAGTGCCGTTACTGCCGTAAGACATCATGTATATTAAAAACAATCCATGACTCAGCAGTCAGCAAATCATAAGGCCTTTTGATGACCTCCTGGACAAACCATCAAAGTTATCTAATAGTGAATAGCTTTGGTGAACTGAAACAAGTAGACGTCTTTGCAGAAAAAACTCCGTCTGACGTACGTTTGTCAATTTTTGAGGCCTGCGAAAAGAAAATATCCATCTTTGTTTATTTGTTCATTATTATTATTATTATTTTTTAAATTTGTAAAACAGTATATATTAACTATTGATATTGACATATGATATATCTACAAAAGAGATAAACAAAATAATACAACTTAAAGCTATTTGATATATTATTTATTAGTCCCTGATCACCCTTCATGTAAGTAATTAAAAACATATCCGCAAGTCTCATTACTAACCATATAAATGGATCAAAGCTGGTCTATCCTGGTATACTTCTTCTTTCTAATCAGGACGACCAACTTTGCTCCACCATCAAAACCGAAAACCAAAACCAAAACCAAAAGAGATTAAGCGAACTGATATACTCCACCTTCAATATTTCTTCCTTTTTCTACCCACCAGATTCCGATAAATGTAATCATATATAGTCCTACGGTTCGACGTTAAGTCCACGGCTAATTAAGTCCCGCCACCAAAACCAGGTGGCGTTGGCCAAAACCCACTACCAACACCGCCTCCTCCTTCCCCACCATCTCCGGTAACATAACTCATGCATGATAACGGAACGAGACATAGCCCACGGCTTCGTAAATCTCTTGTCTCTTCCTCATCCCCTTCTTGTGGTTGTGATCCCTAATCAATTTTTAATAAATCAAATTTAATCTATGTGGACATAAAATATATATAATCGGAGCTAGTGATTATCTTTTTAATAGTATAGATCACTAGTAAATGAACATTATAGGTTCTCTAAGTATACCAGCTGGGAGGCTTTTCCGGGTCGGTTCCTAGATGCTCTCATGTAGGGGACGCTTAAAGTCTGCCCATCAAGCAACAACATTATTTGGCATTTGAGTCATATAACAACTTCATTTTAAGATTATAAAATGATGACGATGAGCATATTAGCTTATATAATCAAACCTATGAACATGAATTGAAATTAAAACTAAAGAAATAGGAGAAAGGGTACTTACTATACGTAGTGCGCCTAAGATGATATAAATATGATAAGATAAAGATTATTCTAACTAATCTCTTGCTTTAAAGGCAAGCTAAACCCTATGGAACTAATTAAATATAAGTTGATAAGTTTGCCCATACTCTATAGTCTTTTAAAGTTTTGATCATTTCAGTATATGTCAAATTCATTACTAAATAATATTGTACTTAATAATAAATTGATATAAAAAGTTGGGAATATTTTGACAAACGGGACGACGATCAAGAAGAATGTCTCCGAGGATGCCATGTAAATATCACTCCAACACTTCGTTCCTTAAATCATATGTTTTCATTTATTCTTAATTATGTACATATAAATTATACAGATATGATGTATGGTTGTCAATGACATACATGCATTGAAAAAATATTTGTGTGTTGATAAAGATGCATGCATTGAAGTTATGTACCTCAATCTGGCTCTGTAAGAATTTGATGTATCCAATTGCCTCCATTAATACAGATGCTGTATCTGTCTGCAATTTAGAGCACTTTACTCAGCTCATGTAAGTATGTAACTAATCATCAACAATCGAGTGTGCAAAAACAACTTTATCTACTTTAGAAATTTCTTTAATTAGTATCACTATATACATTAATACTATCTTTGTAAATGGTAAAAAGGAAACATCTCTTATTGTAGTAAAAATTATTCTTACATAAAAAGTATAACGAGTACTAATTAATGACTGGCCTCACATTCTAAAAGGTTTTTCGTTTTTCGTTTCGACCCAAATTAATCTGAAATTTTGACACAACTTTTACTGCTAATTATGAATGTTACCTTCCCAAATGGTGAAACCAACTGCTGCAGAGCTGCTATTCTATCTCCTAACTTCTCTTTCCTCACCTGTTAATATTTTTCGATAAAAGATTTACCAACATACGTATATAATATATCACTAACATATTGAACAATCAATATAAAATTTTGACATAACTTTTGTTAATGAGTATACAAATGGATCTTCATAACTTTTGGATATAATGTATATAACATAACTATTCTCCATATTTAGACACTTTATTCCAAATAAATATTTCTTCTTAACTACTAAATTTTGCCAAGTTATATAATTATGAATGAATGACAAACAAAATACATAAATAAACAAAAGAAGTAGTAACCTTGAAGGGAGGGCAAGAAGAGCGTGATTCCACGCGCGGTTTCTTGGAAGCATTTTCGCCTGACTTTGTTGCCATCAAGAAGTTATGTCTCTTCCCTTCACTTGTTTGAGGTTCTATGTTGCTCAACATTTCCATCTTCAACCCAAAACCACTCTCATAAGTTATATATGTAAGTTATAGTATATCATTAACGTTCATCATTAATATTCGACTGTAAGGAATATTAATAGTACGTAATAATACCCCCGACAATGAGAAAAAAAATGTTAAGAAAAAAAGAGAGATATGTTCATAAAAAGACAATAAAAACAAAGTAAGGAATAAAGAGAAAGGAAAAAGAAAAGAGAGAACAAAGGTTGATGTTTCAGCTTAAAGAGAGAGAGCTGCTAGCTTATGAATTATGTTAAAAGTTTTTTTTTTATCGCTCAAGCTTTGGCCCTCCAACCAAGAATCACAACCAACAAAGTAAAAGATGGATTATAAAAGAAAATTTTGTTAAAAGTTTATTTTTATGTATATGTATTATTATTATTCTCCCTTTTATGTTTTTCATAACTTTGTTGCAATTTGCAAAGCTTTAATATTTCACAAAGGTCTCGCACTTTACATTAATCAGATAATTAATGGTCTAACTATACTTCATGGTAATAATATTCCACTCTTTCTTTT